AGGATTAGTGCCTTTATCAGATGAGACACGGGAAAGATGCTTTTTCTCTCTGTCGTGTGGGGATACAGCAGGAAGGTGGCCACATGCAAACCGGGAAGATAGCCCTCACCAGAGCCAAATTGTGTTGGCACTTTGATCTGAGACTTCCAGCCTCCAGACTGTGAGAAATGAATGCCTGTTGTTGAAGGCACTCAGTCTAAGATATCTTCTTGCATCAGCCGGATCAGACTGAGACAGTAAAGCACCCATCATTTCTTGCTTGGACTGTTGCAGTAGCTTCCCAACTAGACGTCCTGCTCTATCTCTTGCTGCCTTACAAGTCGTTCTCTACCCTCTAGCTAGGGTGAGCTCTTATTCATTTATTCTTCATGATTCATTCATTTTTAAAATTTATTTAGTCTTTATTCTTATTTAGTCTTATTTATTTACTTATTTAATCTTTTTCTTTACTTGTTTATTCATTTTTATTTTATTGAGGTTAAACTCACACAACATAAAACTAACCATTTTAGCACCATGCTCTAACCAACTGACCTACCCAGGCTTTGACCAAAACTAACCATTTTAAAGTGAGCAACTCGGTGGCGTTTAGTACAATTACAATGTCGTGCAACTCTGTCTCATTCCAAAACATTTTCAATGTCCCAAAAGGAGACTTCATAGCCATAAACAGTCACTCCTGGTTCCCCAATACCCTCAGCCCCTGCCAACCACTAGTCTGCTTTCCTGCCCTGTGGATTTACCTGTTCTGGATATTTCATAAACATGGACGCATGTGATATGTGGTCTTTTGTGTCTGACCTCTTACTTTGAGTATGTTTTCAAGGTTCATCCACATTGCACCATGTGTCAGTGCTTCATTCCCTTTTTACGGCTGAATAATATTCCATTGTATGGATGGACCACATTTTGCTTATCCGTTGATTTGTTGATGGACATTTAAGTTGTTTCCACTTTTTGGCCATTGCAAATTGTGCTTCTGTGACCATGCATGAATATATACCTGTCTGAGTACCAGGTTTCAATTCTTTTGGGTATGTACCTAGGAGCAGAATTGCTGGCATCAGCTTTTTAAACATGTAAGTCAGCTCTCATCCCTCCCTTGCTTAAAATCTTCCAGTGTTTCCCACTGAACTAACAGGGGTTATCAAATTACGGCCACGGGACAAATCTGCCCCCCCCCACCCCATTTCTGTACAGCCGCAGGAGCAGCCGGCACTTTAGTGAGCTTTGAAGACCCAACTAGGGTGTTCTCCTCTGCCCTCTGTTCCTCACTCTGCTCCCAGGGCCTGCCTCTCTGGCCTGCAGCCAATACCCCACCATCATCCACAGCCCCACATGTACTCGTTGGAGTCCCCTCTGTTGGGAACTGCTGGGCACTGAGTGGATGACTCTCATTCTTGGGGCTGGTGTGACTCAGCATGTCCTCTTGCCTCTGGCCACCTAACCCAGGTGAGACAGCTGGGCCTTGAGACAGAGAGGTTGACTGGGGTCTGGGTATTGCTGGAGCAGAGAGCTAGAAACTGGCCTTGGGGGTCACCCCTCACCCCCTCCAGCTGCCTGGACCTCCAAGCCTCAGATCAGTCACTCTTTATCCAGAGAAGGTCTCTAGCAGCCTGGAGCAAAGCATGCCCACCACCCCGGATGGCCTATCCTAAGAGAACAGAGCACCGCAGGGCAGACATTTCCTCTCTTGTTTTATAAGTACTTTCATAATATCCTTGACTTTACCTTTTGGCCCTCAAAGTCTAAAATATTTACTATATGGCCCATTTTAGAAAAAGTTTGCTGTCCCCTGATCTTAGAATAGACACTAAGTGGTCGCCACTATCTTGAAGCCCTCATGCTCTTGCTCACTTTGCCCCAGGTGTCTTGGGGCCTTTGCACTTACTGTTCCCTCTGCCTGGAACAGTCTTTCTCAGATCCCCCACGGCTGGCTCCTCCTTGTCATCTATGTCTTGACTCAAGAAGCCCCCTCCTCACAGGAGCCTTCCCTGGCCACCTGTATTAATCAGGGTTTACCAGAGAAACAGAACCAATAATACGTCTCCATCCATCCATTCATCCATCCAGTCAGCCATCCACCCATCCATCCATCCATCCACCCACCCAGCCATCCATCTATCCATCCACCCAACCATCCATCCATCCAGTCAGCCATCCATCCATCCATCCATGCATCCATCCATCTATCCATCCACCCATCCACCCATCCATCCATCCACCCATCCATCCATCCACCCATCCATCCATCCATCTATCCATCCACCCATCCATCCATCCATCCACGCATCCATCCTTCCATCCACCCATCCATCCATCTATCCATCCATCCACCCACCCATCCATCCATCCACCCATCCATCCATCCATCCACCCACCCAGCCATCCATCTATCCATCCATCCATCCATCCATCCATCCATCCATCTGTCATATCTTTCTATCTACCTATGTATTTATTTATCATCTATCTAATCAATCTATCTATATCTATCTGTCTATCTCGATCTATCTGTCTATTTATCTATCTATCTATCCATCCATCCATCCACCAATCTAATCTATTGAGAGACAGATAGAGAGATACAGACACAGACACACACACTGATATTTAAGGAATTGGCTCATGCAATTGTGCCACTTGGCAAGTCCAAAGTCTGTAAGACAAGCCAGTAGCCTGGAGATTTAGTTAAGGGTTGATGTTGCAGTCTTGAGTCTGAAGGCTAGAAACACAGGCCGAATTTCTACACCACCATTTTGAATTCTTTCTTCCTCAGGAAACTTAATTTTTTCTCTTCAGCCCTCCAACTGATTGGATGAGGCCCAACCACATTATCAAAAGTGATCTGCTTTTTGTGTTTCAGACATACTCTTTTTTTTTTTGCAGGGGAAGATTTTGCCCTGTGATAACATCTGTTGCCAGTTTTCTTCCTTTTTCTTCTTTTTATCTCCCTACAAAGCCCAAGTACATAGTTGTGGATAGTCGTAAGTTCTTCTAGTTCTTCTATGTGAGCTGCCACCACAGCATGACTCCTGACAGACAAGTGGTGTGGTTCCATGCCCAGGAGCTGAACCCAGACCGCTGAAGCAGAGCACACCGAACTTTGACTGTTAGGTCATCAGGGCTGGCTCAAGGGTAATCTGCTTTTAAAGTCAACTGACTATAGGTGCAAATATAAAAAAAAAAAATACCTTCATAGCAACATTTAGACTGGTGTTCAACCACACGACTGGTCACCATAGCCTAACTAGGCTGACTCATCAAGTGAACTGTCACTCAATCTAAGTGACCATTACCTGTGGCCCCACCGCAGGTAAGCCTTCACACATCACCCTATTCTCCATTCTTTTTGGACATCCTCATCGTCTGCAATCATTCTATTCCATCTTTAGAATGTAACTTTCACGAGATCCTGTCTGTGCTGTTCACAGCCTAGAACCACAGGTGCTCAAATAAAACAACACCCCATGTGTTAAAGAAATGAAGAAACTGAATCCCAGGACAGGAGAAAGGAGAAAAAAGCAAGAGAAGAAGTGAGAAGATGGACATAGAGGAGGGCAGGGGGCCTGGCAGATGTCACCTGAGACATCTGTGAGAGATGAGGCTCATTGAGTCTTCTCTAGACAGGGGTCTCTGGCAATTGGGGGCTGTGACTCTATTTCCCCCATATTCCTGGATTTGGGAGGTGGGGGTTTCCAGGACCTGGGGGTCTTAGGGGAAGGGGGCTGTATTCAGGAGTGACTTCTAGGCTCAGGGCATTTGCACGAGATGAACTGATCCAGAGCTGGGAGCCTGGATCCCAACCTGAACAGTCCTCAAGGGACTAGAGGTGGAGGTAGAAGATGCGCCTGGGGCCCCAGTCCCCCTTGGCAGCCAGTGGCCCCCCTCGCCTGTGGCTGCCACCGCTCCCCACGCAGCTCTGGTGATGCTGTGACCGCAACAGCCCCCACACTCCCTCTTTGACTGCTGACTCATGCCTTCCCTTTGCTAGCTCACTCGGAGCTCCAGCCGGAAATATCGCCCTGCCTGCCTCTTACCGCCCCCTCCTGAGCACAGATGCCCCACACGATCCTACAGAAGCATTGAGTCTGTTCGGGCTCATCTAGGAGGTAGTGAACGGGAGAGTGGGGCGAGCCTACAGGAGGGCAACTGGAATGCAGGTAAGATAGGAAATGGAGTGAGAGCTGCAGATAAGGGGAAAATGGGATGGAGGTGAGAACAGGTGAGGAGGCAGGTAAGGATGCAGGTGAGGAAGAGGGTGAGAAGGCAGAGGATGACTGTAGGGTTATGAGGCTGGTGAAGACACAGGTAAAGGTGCAGGGGAAGGTGCCCATGAGAAGGCAGGTAAATATGCAGGTGAGAGTGCAGGTAAGGATGCTGGTAAGAAGACAAGAAGAGATCCAGAGAAGGATGTAGGCAAAGATGCAGGTGAGGACCCAGAGGAGGATGCAGAAAAAATACAGGTGAGGATGCAGATGGACAGACAGGTAAGAATAGGTAAGAATGGGAAAGATACAGGCAAGTTTACAGATAAAGATGTAGGTGGGGGGCCAGGTGAGGATGCAGAAAAAATGCAGATAGGTGACAGGTGAGGGTGCAGGTGAGAGAGTAAAGATTCAGATGAGAATATTGGTAAGAAGTCAGATGATGAGGCTGTAAGGAGGCTGGTAAGCAAGTAGTGAGAACTCAGGTGAAGGGGCAGTGAGCTGCTAGTGAGGATGCAGGTGAGAATACAAATGAGAATTCAGGTAAGGATGGAGCTGAGGTGCAGGTGAGACGCAGGGGAAGCAGCAGGTGCACTTCAGGCTAGATGCAGGTGCCGCAGGCCTGTGCTCTTTGGGTGGAGAAGCCAGTGAACTTGCAGGTGAACGACAGGAGAGACTGAAGTGCAAGCAAGTGAGGTTCAGGTGGGATGGCGCTGAGCTGTAGGTGAGGCAGCTTGGGATCACAGCTGCCTCTTTCCCTCTCTCAAAGACCTCCAGACTTTGGGAGACACATGAAATATAACTGAAGCTTTATTGGGGGGACCAAGATGGGGGCTCAATTGGGGCAGCCAAAGACGACCATGTTCTCGGAGAAGCTGCCAAGGTCCCGGCACTTTTTCTCATACTCCTCGTCTTGGCATTCATCAGCCTCAGGCCACAGCTCCACCCAGGTGTCCTTCCCAATGATGTAGCTGATGCTGGGGAAGGATGACAGGTCAGGAGGGGCCAGAGGAAGGGCAGGAGGGGGTGACCATGCGCATGCACAGGGCCAGCACTCACTTGGGTTTCTCTCCCCACAGGTCGGAGGAGACGCCCCATATGAGGTATTTTTTGTCCTCCTCCAGCTTCAGGGCTTCTCTGCACTTGATGTGGCTGATGAACCTGCGCTCCTGTCCAACCTGCACCTCATCGGAGCCTGGAGGGGACGGAGAGGGAAGCTGAGCTGGTGGGATGGAGGGAAATGGGGGAGGGGGAGGCAGGAAGACAGAAGACAGAGCACAGGGCTGACCTGATTTGATGATCTGCTCGATGACCATTATGTAATCATCAAAGTCATCTGACAGCTCCTTCCGGAGAAGTCTGGTCTTATACACTGTGGGGGAAGGAGGACAGTGTGGGTCTGGGGCAGGGGTGACCATGGGGCATCCTCACCTGCATGCACACCTAGGTGCATGGCTCCCCCCAGGCAGATCCATGCAGGATCACAGCTAGTCATGCTACAGTCCCCCAGTAACACACCCAGCCACATACAGTCATACAACCACCATCTCACACAGTCATACACAGCCATGCACACAATTACAGCTACCAACAACTGTAGTAATATACTTAAGAGCTACTCATAACCAGTCATCCACACCTAGTCTCATCAACCATGGCTATGCGCAACTACAGTCTCACAGCCACACACACAGCCATGCACACTATTACAGATGCCCACAACTACGGCCGTACACATTGCTACAGCTACTCCTATCCACAATCGCACACAACTATGGGTATGTACAGCGACAACCTCACAGTCACACACATAGCCATGAACAAAATTACGGCCACCCACAACTACAGTCAGATACACAATGACAGCTACCCATATCCACTGTCACCCACAACCACTGTCTCACAAAATCATGGCTGTCTACAACTATAACCTCACAGTCATACACATACCCAGGCACACAACCACATCCACTCACAGCCACCTTCTCTCACACACTCGCACATACCCAGTCCACTCTTAACCGTGGTTCTCCACACAATCATGGCCCATCACAACACATTCACACACTCAAACACACCAGTAGCCCACAGTTACAACCTGAAGCACGGCCACACACAGCCACGACCACTTATAGCCAGTCACACACACAACCACAACCACACCTACTGTCACACAGTCTCACACACAACCACAGCCACACACACTATCATTCACACACAATCAAACATGCATGCACGCCCTTCCCTGCACTCACCATAGTCCACTCCTGGCTCACAGGCCTTGTCCAGCCGGTCTTCCTCAGTGACTTTGTCATCCGCCTGGTGCATGAAGCAGCTCTCTGCGGAGTGGGTGAGTAGGGGACATGGTCTTAGTCCCACTTCTTGTCCAGAGCCTACCTCCCATGGGTGTGGGCAGCCCCAGGGCCATCCTTCTGAGTGTCCACTGGGTGAGGGCTTTCAGGGCCCCGTGGGTCACCCCCATGGGGATGGGGGATCCAGTGGGCATGGCCTGCCCCTTCCTGGCTCCTGTGCACCCACCCTCAGCACAGCGGCACATGTCCTTTTGGCAGAGCTTGCTCAGCATTCCATCCTCCTTCTCTGGGTGGTAGAACCGGGTGCAAGTCTCATCTGTGGGCAGAGGTGGTGGGGAGGGGTCAGAGGGAGAGGACCTCTATCCAGAGATCACATCTGGGGCACTCAGAGTCCCAACTCCTCAGACCTGGAGATACCAGGTTCCCAAACATGGGACCACCAGACCCCTAACTCACACATCCCTGGGACCCCCAGACCCCAGACCCTAGGTTGGCTGCTCACCCAGGTTGTAATAGGAGTACACCTTGACCATCCCAGGCTGGATAAGCCCCACATTAAAGTACTGGTGAACTCTGAAGGACAGACAGTCCTCCTGGGTGTGGGAGATCTGGGGGGAAGGAGAAGGTTAGTCAGTGGGGGCAACATGGAAGGCAGTCCAACATAGGGCACATATGGGGGTTGGAACAGTGGTAGGGAAACTGAGGGACTAAGGAGGGAAATGGGTCGGGGAGGGTAGGAATCTTTGGCAAAAGATTAATGAGCAGCTCAACAAATCCATTTTCTTTTGCTCCGAGTCTCAAAAGGATAGGGCACTCTGCTCAACCTCCTCTTCAGTTCGGTGTAACCATGCAATTGAATTCTGGCCAATAGACTGCTATTGGTACCTATAAAAACATCCCATGGCCAGCAATACTGCATTGTCTATTTGAAAGTTGGTAAGAGAGTAGATCTTAAAAGTTCTCACCATGCACAAACAAACACACATATACACACAAGCTCAAGTTCTAACTACTTGAAGTGATGGATGTGTTAACTAACTTTATTGTGGTAATCCTTTTCCAATATATACATAAATCAAATCATTACACTGTACACCTTCAACTGACATGTGAGATATCAATTATATCTCAATAAAACTGGAATAAAATAAAGGGAAAAAAGAAAGAAATAGGAAACGTGTATATATGTATGTGTATGTATGTATATGTGACAGTCATGTACACTTGGAGAAAAATGCTAACAATTAGTGAATTTCAGTAAAGGGTATATGAGACTTCTTTATACGGTTCTGCAATTTCTCTGTAAGGTTGAAATTATGTAAAAATTTAAAAGTACAAAAATTAAAATACAAAAATCATTAAAAAAAACGCATCTCATGGACAGTCTTTTTTTCTTCTGGAAAGAAGGGATCCAGCAGAGGACTCCAAGGTCCTAGGGATTGTAGAGCCTCTAGATGTAGATAGAAGATACTTGGATCCCTGAGTGACCATGTGGAGCAGAAGTCTCCTTTCTCACCTCTCACACCAGTTGGACTTGACTTGAGAGAGAAATACAAGCCTCTTGTGTTGAGACCCCCATACACTTAGAGGTTTTATTATAGTAGCTAGTGTTACTTATACTGACTAACATGGGGTGAGGGGCATGGGGAGTATTAGGAGTTAGCAGGGACCATATGAGGATAGGAGAATGGGAAGAAATAAGCAGAAGAGAGGAGGAACCCAAGTCATGTTAGAGATGAAGAGCACATGAGAAAGCCAGATGGAGAGAGAGTAAGAGAAGAGAGAAACACTAGGGCTGGGGAGCAAGAGGAGTTCTTTCTCTTCACTGAGCACTTTTTTCTTTTTCTTTTTGAAACCAAAGTGGCTCTTTTCAGTGGTTGTTTAAGCCTGTGATGAGAATAAGTTGGAGGAAGCAGGTGTGAAAATGAGGTTGAACATCAGTGGTCAGAAGGTGAGATGCTTAGAGGAGGTGTGTTGACCTGGGTTGACCACCTTATTGATCTGGGTTGACCACCTTATTGACCTAGGTTGACCATCTCATTGACTTGGGTTGACCATCTTCCTGACCTGGGTGACCATCTTGTTTTATATGTTCCTTCCTCTACCACCCAGAAGCACTGACCCTGTCTTCTAGCTTGGGGCCGGCTTCACCCACAGACAAAGCCCAGTGTAGAAGGGAAGACCAGCCAGGTAGGGGTCAAGGTCCTAATGGAAGCCTTACCTTGTCCAGGTAGATGATGAGGGTGTTCTTGTTGGAGAAGGCCTTGTTCAACTCATACTTAGAGATATATCTGTCCACGCCACTGCTCAGCTGGGAAAGGAGAGGGCTTGTGAAAATCCCTCCAGGAACCCCCTCCCTCCCTCTAGCCTCTTCCAGACCCCAGGCTGCTTTCCACTGATCCCAGCCCCCGAGTCCAAGACTTTCATACCAGGTCAAGGTCACACGTGTCAGGAGCAAAGCCAGTCATCATGGATATATCCAGGATCGACATGGTGGCATCCTCATTTCCCAGGTATCTGGATGGGGCAGGGAGAGAGGGGTTGAGTTCCAGGATGGGCTCAGCCTTAGGGGTCAGTGCCTGGTTAATGGGATCTGACGGGGACTGAGGCTTCTGGTTCCCACCTAGAATCACATGTTAGAATTTGGAAACACTCCCCCAAGGAGACTAAAGAAAAGGTAGCATAATGGTCTAGGGGACTAATTGCTCAGGCTCTGGAACCCAGTTGTATTGGTTCAAATCCCAGCTCTGTGTAACCTTTGATGGGTTACTTGACTTCTCCATGCCTCAGATCTTCTAAAAAATGAAGACAAGAATACAAACAGTCTCACTTTGCATGATTCTGTTACCATGGTCTAGTTCCCCAGCAACACAGTTCAAACCTCAGTACCACTGAAATGTGTATATTAATATTAATATACACAAATATTAATAATATATACAAATTAATTTACAGATATTAGTCATGAGTAATTGTATTTTTACTAGCTCTCAGTCCACCCATCATGACATAAATAACAGATGCACCTCACAATCAATGACCAATCACAGCACTTCGTTTCAAGCCTGTTGGTGATGGGTTGCTGAGCATCCATTATTCCGTTCACACACAGAGAGCAAAGACTGGAGTTGTGCTGCTTCCTTATCTTCCAGTGATAAACCCACATGACGTTTTACAAACTGGATAATTGAAAGAGGGAATTGGCCAACAAAGAGGGGAGCACAGTAAAGAAATGAAGAGTGATAATGCTGGAGGTGAAATTCAAATAGAACATAAACGGAATTACAGAGGAAATAGCAGATGGAGGGCATGTGGACCCTGCTGCCTTTTGAGAGACTAGATATGCACTAGAGGAATTCGGTGAAGGTGAACTTATTGACATACATGAGAAAAGTGGTTTTGACAAAAAGATGAAGATGTCCTAGGAGAAGTGATGCCAGCAAAAACCTTCACATTAAAGGAACTCTCAGAGATATACCGTGACATTGAGAGCTCAAAGGATAAAATGTTGGAAGTTGACTCAAACTTAGAAGGGAACCTGACAATTCACTATGGCATAGAAAGGATGCTTGCTCCTTATGATAGGTCACACAAAAAGAGGAAAGGAGACACTGTCCAAAGTTCAGTGCTTTGGAAAGTGTTTAACAGAGGAAGAAAAGACCCAACTTTAATCTAATATTTTAAATTACAGTGTAGTCAACAAATACTCATTTTATTATACTTCTTATTTCTCTATGCCTTTATAACTGGCAGTATGGGAGCTTTTGATGTGTGATAAAAAATTGTAAAGGTCCTAGAACCATTGTAATTTCCCTCACTGATTATTAAGATTGCTTTGCACGGTCTCAGCTAACGTGGTCATTTCTAGACTCACATGCCATGCAAAGTGAGGAGTGCCCATGCTACCTACCTCCTGGCAGGTAATTAAGACGGTAATAGATGCACAATACACTCCCAGAAACTATTAGGTACCATGGATATTATTAGTAAGAGGTCTTGCTGGAGACAGAGGGATGGCCAAGATGAAGCCCAGTGACCCATCTCTTACCTGGTACAGAGGTTAAGGATCATGGTGCTCTTGGCATCCTGAGGCCTCTTGACTAGAAAGACAGAAGACAGAAGGATGAAGGGGGTCCCTGGGTCCTGATTTAGGAGGGGGGGCAGACATCAGAATGGGGGTGGAGGAAAGGTGACAGATAGGGTCTTTACTCCTTTTACCTGTTTTAGGGGCTGGTCGTATGCTAACCTTGAGGTCAAACTTCTTGCAGGTGACCTTGCCTTTGACCTTGGCGTGGTACACTGTCACCACCTGGCAAGATGAGACAGAAGACTAGGTATCAGCCCACCTGACTTGGGAAGGGGAGGGCCCCTGCAGGGCCATGCAGGTGTGGGTTCCCCTTCCTTACCGACAAGGTGCCTTGTCCTTTCCCTTTAGCTGTTAATGTGAATTTCTCGTTTTGCTTGGTCTGCAGGGAGTGGGGAGAGAGAAGAGAGTGATGGGAACCAAGCCTTCCCCTGGCTGTGATGGTCATCTTCCCTCCCTCCTACCTCCCGGCAAACCCTGGCTGGCATGGAGGGTGAGAGAGAGGAAGGTTTGGACAGGTGGCTGTACCTCTTCTGACCGCAGGAGGCTAGCAGATTCCCAGTAGATGCGGTGCGTGACCGCAGAACTGCGGCTGGGCAGGTTGATGGAAACATCGAGGTTCAGGTCCTTGTGGTTAGGGACATCCTTTTGGTACTGAGCCAAGGCTTGGAACACCATGAAGGTGGCCTAGAATCCATGAGAAAAAAAGAGAGTGAGCTGGGAGACTGAGGAAGTGGTTAGAACACACTGGGAATGAAGAGGCTCAGATGGTCAGAGGTGGGGCGCTGAGACTGCCGCCTAGAACTCACCAGAGAGGGTGAGGATAAAATGGGGCTGTTGGGTACTGAATGCATGTCCTAGAACTCTCTGAGTGAGAGAGGATTAGACTAGGTCTCAGTGACACTAAGAGTGTGGCCTAGAACCCACTAGAGAGCATGAACGTAAGACTGGGAGTTCTTAGACACTGAGGACATGTTCTAGAATTCCCCAAGGGACAGAGACCTATACCAGAGCTTGGAGACACTGAACACATGTCTAGAATACACCAGAAAGTGTAGGCATAAGACTGACGGTCTAGCAACACTGAGAATGTGATCTAGATCCATCAGAGGAGAGAAACTAAGGCAAGGGTTTGAGGGCACTGAGAATGGGTCTAGAACCCACTCATGAAAACAGAATAAAGTTGGAGCCTGGGGACACTGGACATATGCTATAGAATCCAAAAGTGACACTGAGAATGTGATTGGGAGCCCACCAGAAGGGAAGGGGGTAAAACTGGAACCTGAGGTTATTGAAGCTCAAGGTTACTGAAACCACGGTCTAGAACCCATCAAGGAGAGACAGAGGCTCTGTTAATGCCCTAGAATAACTGAGAACCTGGTTTGAACCCACAGCAAGACAAGGTAACTCTGGGAGGCATATGGAACTGAGAACCTGGTCTAGAACCCACCAGGGGGAGATGGAAGCTCGAGTAATGCCGTGAATAACTGAGAACCTGGTCTAGAACCCACCAGGGGGAGATGGAAGCTCGAGTAATGCCCTGAATAACTGAGAACCTGGTCTAGAACCCAACAGTGAGACAAGATAAGATGGGGAACCTGGTAGAAATGAGAAAGTGGTGTAGAACCCACCAGGAGGAGATAGAGGCTCAGGTAATGCCCTGAATAACTGGGAACCTGGTCTAGAACCCACCAGGGAGACAGGATAAGATGGGGAACATGGTGGAACTGAGAACATGGCCTATAATCCACCAGGGGGGAGACAGAAGCTCAGCTGATGCGCTGAATAACTGGGAACCTGGTCTAGAACCCAGCAGGGAGATAGGATAAGATGGGGCACATGGTGGAACTGAGAACATGGTCTAGAAACCATCAGGGGGAGACAGAGTCTCATACCTGAGCCTAGGCTATGAGAACATGATCTAGACACCAGGAGCAAAAGGGAGGCTCAGAACACAGTTTGGGACATCCAGAATGTTTTCTAGAATCCATAGATGGATGCACAACTAAAAAAATTGATTTCTCAACTCCAATCACCCTGGCTTGTGGGTCAGAATTGCCTCTCTTGGTCTCAGTGTCTTCCCTGGGAGGCCAGTGGGAGGCCAGGGGAAGTAGGGATGCAGGTGTCTGGAGGATGGAGGGCCACTTGCCTGGGTGGAGCCATAGCCACCTCCGTAGTATCTCTGTTCGTTGAGCCAGCGCACCACCGGAGGCACAGAGTCAAAGTCTCTGAGCAGCAGCAGGGCCAAGAGGGCGTAGGATGTGGCCTCTACATTGTAGAGCTTCTGGCCAGGCTCCTCCCAGCGGTTCCTGTCTGCAGAGAAGACCCCCACACTCACGCTCACTGCTCAGTCCCTCAGTCCTGGAGACAGCTCAGAGAAAGCTCAGAGAAAGAGTCATGCTAGACTTCTTGGTGTGCAGGTGTCCTGGCTGACATTTGAGGCCCTCAGTCTGCCGGCTCCTGCCTCACTCTCTTCCCTCATCACCCTTCACCCCTCCATTTGAATGCCGAACTTCAGCCCCACTGATCTATGGGAGATTCCCTAAACTTTCCATGCTCCTTCTTACCTCTGGGCCTTTGCATATTCTGTTCTCTCTACTTGGAGCACCTTTTCTCCATTTTTGTTGTTAGTGCCATTGAGTCGATTCTGACTCCTAGTGGCCTTGTGTACAGGAGAGCAGAACCCTGCCTGATCTTTTTGCGCCATCCTCTCATCTTCGGGTGTTGTATCAGACAATGGTCCCCTTCTATTCATAGGGTTTTCATGGCCAATTTTTCAGAATTCAGTGGCCAGATCCTTCTTCCTGGTCTGTCGTAATCTGGAAGCTCTGCTGAAGCCTGTCCACCATGGGTGACCTTGCTGGCATTTGACATAACAGTGGCATAGCTTTCAGCATCACAGCAACATGCAGCTGCCACACAATGACAACTGATAGATGGTGCTGTGGTTCCCTGACTGGGAAATGAATCTGGGCTGTGGCAGTGAGAGAGTCAAATTTTGACCACTAGACCACCAGGGCTGACTTTTATCCATCTACTCCTGTTAATTCTCACTCATCTTGCACAGTTCAACTTCAATGGCACCCCAAGACTAAGTGAGGCCCTTCCTTCCATCTCTCAAAGCATCCTGTGCTTCTCCCATCCCAGCACTATGATGCTCTATAGAAATCTGTTAACTCATTTCTTTCCTCAACTGGAGTGTGAGTCCATGATGGCAGGTGCTGTGCTGTATTCACCATGATATCCCAAGTGCCTAAGAAAGTACGCAGGGAAGAGGAGACTGTTATCAAGAACCATTATCTCCTCTTTCTGGGCCCACAGTTGGACTACATCTCCCAGAAGTCTTTGCAGGTAGGTATGGCTTGCACGAGTGAGCTCTGGTCAACGCAATGTACACGGCAGTGATGGGGCCACTTCAATGCCTGGTCCACCTACCTCGCACAATCCTTCTGACTCTTTCTCCTTCTGCCTGGATGGAATGGATTCCAAGGCCCCGGGGTGGCAGAGCCATGAAAAGATAAGAGGCCTGGATCTCTGCATCACTGTGTGGAGGAGAGCTGCCTACCAACTTGGAAGACACACAGTACCGTTCCACATCAAGGAACAAACTTCTGTTGTGTCAAATCTCTTCAGTATACATTCAGATATGTTACATCAGTGAGTGTAAACCTGACACAATGTCATCACCGGACCAATGTTTAAGCACTCACTGTGTGCCAGGCACTGTGCTAAATTCCCTATGGCATTATCTTATCTAATCCTAATTACCCTTGAGATAATGAAAATGTTATTAGCAATACTAACAGTAGTAAGCACACCAGCTATAGAGCTGTTACTCTGTACTAGACCCTACCACCTGCATTATTTATTTAATCTTCACAACCACCTTTGATGTAGATATCAGTTTAAGATGAGGTCCACAGAGGTTAAGTGACTTGTATAAGGTCACACAGTGAGAATGTGGCAGAGTGGAATTTAAACTTGGGTCAGTCTGATATCAGAACCCATGTCCTTGCTCCTGCGTCACAGCAAGTGTTCAACACACACTTGTTGAATGGATGACGCGATGGACATTCTTGTGGGGCTTACAATGAGGACTTCACACCTTACAACCATCCATTCCAGCTTGGCTTCCATCCCAGGTCAGCTTGGAGCCATGCATCCCACCTCAAGATCGCCACCCTCAAACCAAAGCCATGCACCCCTCTTTATCCCACCAGGCTGCCCCTCACCTGTGGCTGCGCTCAGGAATTTGTTGAGGAGGGGGTCCTCCAGCTTGCCCATCTGGGCCAGGGCGTAGCCAGCAATGGCCACAGAATATGGTCTCCGCAGGTTATTATAGTGGGCTTCAAGGAAGTCTCCTGCCTTAATGATGCTGCGTGCCAGGCTCTACAAGAAAAAGGATAGAGTACTCTCATGAGGAAAGCATTGCTGCCACAGGGAGCTGGTAAGGATCACACAAGCACGACTTTCTGGGCACCAGGATGGTTTCTGTCCTTGGGACCTGTCTTGGATGTGTCCATTTTTGAAGTTTCGCAGACATTTTAACCACTGTGACCTGCCTTGTTGCTGAGTCCCTACAATGTGCCTGGAGGAGTCTACATACCCCATGGTGTGCTGGTAAATGTTTAACAACCAGCTCTTCAGTGGTGGAAGGGGTGGTTATAGATTGCCAAATACCGTGGTATAAATACTCCCACGATGGCCCATTTCAAGCTATCAAATGTGACTTCCCTGAACATGGAGTGGGGAAGAGATACACCAAATAGGTGCTCATGAGCTTGTATGAGCAGGTTCAGCACACCATTGGGAACATGTCTTACCCAATCACCATCATAATCATCATCATCATCAGTACTTATACGTGCCAGTCATATATCCACTCACTTAACATCATAAAATCCTAAGAGGTAAGTATTATTTTCATTATCATCCCTGCTGCACAGATGAGAATACTGAGATCCAGAGAGCTGAAGGGCAGAGGAAGACATCATTTGTAGTGTTTGCTGATTTCCATGGTGTAAATACCACCATGGCTGATTTCAACCTACCAACGTGGCATCACTGAATGTAGAGTTGGGAAGAGGTGGGCAGTAGCAGAGTGTTATATAGGATTTCCATCATACGGATACAATAGACCTAAATAACCTCATGAGCATAGGTAATGATAAAAGCCAGTAAAACAGTTAGGAAGTGATGCATTTTAACTGTTTATTATCTTGGATTTTAATGCTTAACGCTTATAGTTTAATTTATTTAACTGTAAGTTCATACCGCTTAATTTTTAATAATGATTGTGTTCAACAACCCGCTTGTAAAATTCCTGGAAATTAACAGTTGGCTTTTGCAAGCTGGTTCCAGCACTCTTGACTTGGACTCCAGCAGTCTCGTTCTGCAGCCTGTGCCATGCTCCGTTATAATTGTAGCCACAGGCCCTCCGAGACCAGTTCAACTGACCCCATCTTAGCGACACAGTAATTGAGAGATAGTGTACAGGAACTGAGACATGACCGCTTGTCCGGTTTAGGCTGGCTGAGACCGCCAACCTATCAACTGGGTCTGTGCAAATGCCCCATAAATGACCCTTTTGACGTCAAGGGGTTGAAAAATCCACCCTAAGATCAGACTAACACCATCCTTTTGTGAATATGCGTCCTATAGAGAGCCAGGAAGCTTGACTACGCTTATGCAGATCAATTACCTGACTCCTCCTTACCTCCAGTCATCTAACTCCACGCTTCAGACCACCCTGCCCTTCATCCCATAAATTCTGCCCCAAGCGCTGGATCGGGGAGACAGACATGAGAGCTTATGCCTCCTGTCTCCCTGCACATTGATCTTGCAATCAAGCCTTTTCTTTTCTCAAAAGCTGATGCTGTAATAACTGGTTCTTAATGCACATTGGGCAAGAAAACCCCAATTTTGTGCTGTAACCATTTTGGTGACCATGAAGGGACAAGGTCCTGTGACCACCCGCCTGAGGCTATGGAGTCCCTGGTGGCCTGTGGGTCTTTTCACTGATCCTAGCATCTGCCTAGACAATTTTGTCTGGAGGCTTGGCCAATTGGATTTCTGTTTCCCGCTGTGGTGCCCCAGGCCCTTTGGCACTCTTTTCTCTTTTGAGAGAAGAAACAGCTTCTGGACCAGACATCTTCAGGTAAGTAAACTTGTTAAAATGTGCCTGAGCCTAAACTGCCTAATAATCTCTTCAGAATTGTGTGTTAGAGTCCCTGTTGGGGAGATTTTTGCTGGGTTAAAGTCCCAAGGCCAGGGGGCCAGGCCCCATGGCCGAGTGGTTAAGTTTGCACGCTCTGCTTAGGCAGCCCAGGGTTTCACCGGTTCAGATCCTGGGTGTGGACATGACACAGCTCATCAAACCATGCTGAAGTGGTGTCCCACATGCCACAACTAGAAGGACCTACAACTAAAAATACACAACTATGTACTAGGGGACTTTGTGGAGAAGGAGGAGGAGGAGGACAAGAATGAGGAGGTGGAGAGGGGGAGGAGAAGAAGAAGAAGAAGAAAAAAAGATTGGCAACAGATATTAGCTCAGGTGCCAATCTTAAAAAAAAAAAAAGAAGTTCCAAGGCTGGAAGTGTGGGTTCGAGCCACACTCCAAAGAAGATAATAAAAAAGGGTTACAGCTGCTGGAGCACTCAAGGATTGGGTTAGAATCCTGAACTCTGGGTGAGAGTCCCAGAATACTGGATTTCTGTGTCTGCTTGTGTTTGTCTATTTTCTGACTGTTTTATTTGTTAAAATTTCTGTTTGGGGACTGAGTTTCTCAGTGATCTAAGAAACTCTCTTTAGAAATTACCTTGTTTGTTTCAGCCACCCTGGAGAAATCCCGTAAAAAGGGAGTAACAGCAGATGGTTGGAAAGATAACTCAGGATAATTTAAAATTGCAGTAGCAACTTTGGGCTCTTTTTGAACCTCCAAACCGAGGAATAAGGAAAACATTTAATCTTTCAAGAGTCTAGGGGCTGGCCCCGTGGCCAAGTGGTTAAGTTCGTAATCTTTCAAGAGTCTAGTGTTCGACCTTCTGGCACAATTGTTCAAAGCCTAAAGATCCCAGAAGCTGTAAATATTTACAAAGAACTGCAAAATCTTACCAAGCTTGTTTCACGTCCTGAGGGCTTGGCTTAATAATTGTCAGGTTGGAGGCCCCAAAATACGGTCAGACAAAAGTGCAGTTGCACCCCATTTTGTGGTCAGAGATGTGGGTTGCACTCCCTTTTGTGGTTAAGGGTCCTACCAGTCTGCCGTCAGCCTCAGGGGCATTACACTGACCATTAAAAGGAATGTTCTAATTAGATAAGGTCATTTAAGAAGTGCGTTAAAAGCAAAGACTTCAAAATTCCAAAGTAACCTTATGGAAAGTTTTGTTGCAAAAAGCTAATTAAAAATTCAGTTATAAAATGTACCTAAAAGAAAAATATATTAGGTCATGGCTTTATAGCCACCCCTGTGATCAACCTTCATAGGAGCGCCCCAAATGAGCCCCTCCCAGAGTTAACAAGACTCAGAGATTTTCTGGAAAACTGCTACATCAAAGGTAACCGAAATTGTTTAATACTGCTAGGCATAGTTACTGTTTGTCTGGGCTGAAACCTGAAAAAGATCTTTGAAAGGATTTAGCAACTTATGATCAGAAGTTTGGCCAAACTGGAAGCTGATGTTCAGAGCCTGATAGAAATTTTTCAAGGCTTTCTTCCCTAAGTTAAAATAAAACTAAGCACCCAGAGGGAAAGAAGCAAATTAGGAATGATGTGGTTGAACAGGCAGATCAACCCATAATTTCATTTAAGTTACAACCCAATTTCTGAGGAATTAGCAGCAACTGTCCTTGAAAGAAGTCTTGCAAGACTGGAAATGCAATTCTAGAGGAAGTTCAGATTCCACCCATTTCCTTTATCTCAAAAAGCTTGTAACCTCTCTGGCAGCTGTTATCTAGCCCATCACCAATTCCTAAGACTGAAGGGGGAAAAAAAGGAAAAAAGGAAAGAAAAATGGCCACAAGAGTGCCTTCACCCAAAATCTAGGAAAAATATTAGAAGAAAAAGCTTAAAACAAAATTTGGATTCAATTATTCTTTCATAACTAGTGAGCTTTCATAACTAGTAATCAGGTGATCTGATTCATTGCAGTACTTTTAAAACAACAGCTGTGGAATCTCTGTGTATGTGTGTCTATATATCTTATAGACGTATGATATTTTTACATCCAGATGGTATTTCTAAAAGAGCTGTGTTCAACTGGCTTAGAGTAAGCACTTACATAAATGTAATAGAAACTAACCCTAATGTTTTTCAAGCTAACATGATATAAAATAATCTTTGGTAAATGAAAGCCTACTTAAGCTTGTTGATTGATTAAAATAAATATGTTTTCAGAGTTATCAACACTGGATATAATACAGACATGTTATCTCTGTTACAAAACTCATTAGCAAAAATAATAACTCATAATGATAGCTGATTTTGCCTAATGTCTCATTAAGTTTTATAGGCAATCTAAATAATTATTGGGAACAAGAAACTAAATAGATGTGAAAAAGATAAAAGTTTCAGGTAAATTTTTAATAGTAATTTTGTATTATGGTGTATGTACTTAAAATAACTCCAAAACCTTTTGGTAACTTAAAACCTTAGAGTTTTGTTAAATTAAGTTAAAGATAAAATTTATTGAGTATCTAGGTCATTTCTACCTAAGATATAATATTTGATATTAATTACTAACCATAGATTTATCTACCTTTTGGCTTCTTTCACAGAGAAACTTGAAAAGTACTTGGATTTACTGATAAACATATTTTGTGCCATGCTGAGAAATTTTCTATGAGAGAGCACATGTTTCTAGACAGTACTTGTGGACCTGACATTCCACAGGATGTCAATATATAAAAAAATTAAGGAAAGTAAGATGTATGTTTTAGTAAAGAAGATTCAAGGAATGAAGATATTTTTGTTTGTTTTGTTAAGAAAGATAAATTTGTCCTAAAGTACTAGAAGAGAAGAAAGAAGGCATGGGACAAATTCTGAATGTAAAAAGAAAGTTATAGAAGGTTTGTGGAATAGAAATCACAAGGAAAGAGTTTTGTGTATGGTCAAGCTGGCTAAGATCAAAACGAAGTTAATTAAGTGGATAAGTTTTTAACGTCAAAAGTAAGCTGGTGAAAAATTAAAATTTGATTTTCTTTCTCCTATCCTTGGGCTCTTAGTCCACTCTTGATAGAGAGATTATAAAAGGTTTTTCTTTATTTTTGAGTAAATCTACCTAAGACGGAAATTCTATGTTTTGTCAAAATAACTTCCTATGTTCTAAAAAGCTGAGGTCTCTCTATTAAGAAAACTAAGGTTTTTTTTTTTTTTTTAACTGTTTAACTCTGTATGCTTGCCTTAAACATCTTCTGTTGTCACCTTGGTTAAATAAATAACTAAGCACTGTTTCACAGTGAGCTAAGATCCTATTTGACCAAGTGTTTTAAACCTTTTGATATTTTTGACAAACTTCCCCCCAAATTCAAATCCTAAAGTCTTTCTTTTGACATGAAAGCAACTTTGAGAATTTCCAATGGGGCCCTGGGACTTCTCAAAGAATGTATTCTCTCTTTGTATAAAGAGGGAGATATTAAACTAAGTAGGCTTATTTGGTGTGTTAAATTACATGGGAAGCATTGTCAAATAAATGATGATAACGTTTCTTAGGTTATATTGTGCAGGTTAAATGTTATTAATATAACTTTAAAAAATTATACAACATTCTCAAAATTCTGATCTGTCCTGGTTATAAGTCATAATTCTAGTTATTTTCAAATGTTATATGTCACAGAAATAACCAAATTTCTTTGTCAATTGCCATTTTTAGGTTTTCTGTCATTTGCAGACAGTTATTGCTTTACTCTGATACTTTTGCAAATATGTTTCATCTTCAGAAAGATTCATGGAAAGGACCCTGACACTTACTCTAGAATACAGGTGTCTGATAAACTTTCAGAGTACAAAACTAAACTGGGTAAGAAATCACAGAATTCTAACAGAGAAGCTGATGGCCTCATAAAACTACTAGCAGAAGATCAAGATCAAGAGTTGATTACATGGGATTGAATGAACTGATGAGGATGGTTATAATTTTTATGACTTTTCATTTGAAATATTGCTGATTTTTTAATGTTTTGTTTTTCCATATTTAAGGAAATATTTTTCTCGTTTCTCTTAAGCTATGACTTATACATAGCAATTTGGTAAATTATACCTTTCTAACCAGAATTAAAATATTCATCTCTTTCTCCCTACTAGATCCCTCCAAAATTTGGAAACCCTTGATGAGTGAATATTCTTATTTTCATGGCAATATAGTTATTTGCATAAGTTCAATAAGAATCTGTGTTCCTTATAACAGGACACAATTGGAAACATTGGTTATATTACCAAGTCTTTGACTAGAATGTCATATTTGAGAGAAACATACATAGACTCAGATATGACCAAACAGATTTAAGGAACAGGATTGACTTTATGAGACAAAAAAAGCAACCTGGAAATACTGGCCTGGTACCTTGCTTACAGGGTTCCTAGCAACCTTACCAGGTGAGTAAAGAAGGTCACTTCCTGGAAGGTGCAAGAACCTCAGGATATTTTGGGGAACATCAAGAGAAGAGAGGAATCCACTCAAACCTATAGGTATTGCAGGAAGACTGATGACAAGTCCTTGGGTTGGGTCTCCTGGTTGTGAGAGGTCTTTAAATTTCAATCTGAGATTGCTTATGAAAAGTTCCAGCAAAGCAGATTTAAAAGAGCCTATATGACAATTGTTATTCTTTCTGTATGTATGTAAACAATTGGGCCAAGTTTATTGAAACTAGACATTCTGCAAAACAATTAGCTTTAATTTCGTTACCTTTGGTACAAATGAGGGTGATTTTAGAGAGAAAAATTATGTTTCAATAAAAACTATAGTACACATTTATGGAGATTAGATTCTGGTTCTGTTAATTGTCTTTGATATTTTTGTTTTCTATCTGTAAACTAGACTGGATCCTGAATTCTCCCACTCTCCTCAATATCTGGCTACAAATCTCCAAACTAATGTTTTCAATTTTTCCCATCCTTTTCATTTAGAATCAACGAGAGCTCAAACCATCATTTTTCCTGAAGCCTTGCAAACTGAAGCTGGGAAAGTTGATATAAACTTGAGAAATTCATGCCTGTTACTGTGTAAATAACTCAGAAAGATACCTGAACCCCCAATGACATCAACAGAGACACTTCAAAAGCAGATGTCATAATAATTGGCTCGTTATGCACATCAGGCAACAGAACCCCAATTTTGTGCAGCAACATAATGTTGCTATGTTGTAGTAGAAACTAGTCCTTTTGCCTGCCAAGCTGTCTCCCCCTCATCTACCCTTGACTTCTGTAGGAACTTCTTCTCCTCCTTTTCATTCACATGGCAACCATGGAAGCAGCCATATTGGACAACTGAGACCTACTTTCTGGCCTCAGCTGATTGGTGCAGGGGTGATCACCTGACCAAGGCTGAGCCAATCAGAATCCTTCCATGGGAATCTGAAATCTCTAGCCTTGGTCTGGCTATTTCCCCAAGGAAGGCAGTCATGTCCTACCTGGCAGGCTGAGTGACAGGGAAAGCTGAATTATAGGGCAAAAGGGAATGAATGACACAGGAGAGAACACAGCATCCTGTCAGAGTCCCTCAGGCCACTTTCCTCTTTGCACTTGATAAATTCTCTGATCCTTAAAATAAATCCACATCTATTTTTGCAAAATCTAGGTCACATGTGTGTTACATCTAGGACAACTCAGAGGGTCCTCAAAAATACAAAGATTAATATATCCATTTTACAGTTGCACACACTGAGGCACAGTGAAGGAGAGTGCCTGAGAATCAGGATTTGAAGTCAGATTTGTCTCATCCCACAGGTGTAGTCAGCTGTGTCTCTTTTCTGCCATAATTTCTCTCCAATCTGCAAGATTTGAACCAGAAAGCCCCAGATCCCTCTTGGGTATTAAAGATATCAGCCCCTGCATTTGCTTTTCTCCTCAAGGGCCTCCTTCCCTCCATCTCTTTTCTGGGGGCCTGAGGAGGGAGAAGCAACTGGATGGAGGTGGGATCCTCAAGTTCCCCATATGGGAAGCTAAAGGTCAAACAACCCTCTCTCAAAACCCCAGGATGAAGCAGATGGAGCAAACACAGACTCTCAGAAACCCATCTTTCCAAGCTTCTCTGCTTCAAAAACATAATCAGAGGAAAAGGGGACAGTGATGAGGTAATATTTTTAATAATTTCTTTTTAGGGTCATGGATCCCTTTGAAAAATCTCCTGAAAGATCCCCTAGACTGAGGAAATAGTCTTGACATTTTATAGCTCTGTGTCCTGAATTTTCCTTAGAGAAACAGCAGAGACACAAATGTACTGCTCATGTAGGAGTGATGTGGAAAGCAGGCTAAAGGGGCTTTTGCTGAAACTGGGTAAACCTCTCTGAAAACGGTAAAGCAGGAAGAAAGGACTTTGATCTCTTTGTGTCTCTGTTTTCTCATCTGTATACTGGGGAAAATAAGAGTAGCTTAGCTCTTGGGCTGTTTGAAGGATTACAAAGAACTTAAACATGTGAAGCTGTTAGATGAGTGTGCTAATTACTCAATAAATGTTATGGATTATTAAAGCCACTATGGTGGCTGTTATTGCACTGAGGAGGACTGGAAATCACGAGAATGCAACACCTCACTCTTCAAGGTGGACGAGCTTTGGGTAGAAGAGGGGAGGGAGGGGGAGAATGGGGGACACTCACGTTGACCTGTCCCTCGCAAATATCTTTAGCTTCCTGCAGTGCGATGAGAACAAAGGCTGTGAGGGACACGTCTTTCTCCTCCGCATTCCGGAAGCCACCCTAGGGTGGGGAGCAGGAAGCAAAAATAGGGTCACTGGCGTATCCTTGCATGCTGACCAACTCCCTTGTAGGATCAGCAGCTCAAAGCAGGCCTGGGTCTCTCCCCAGTGCCTCCCCAGGTGGGCCAAACTCTTTAGTATTCATTCATTCATTCATTCATTCTGCAAATGTTTCTGGGGCTGTGGATATGATGGTGGACAAAAACAGATGCCAGCCTCAGCCCTCACAGAACTCCCTGTCTAGTAGGGGAGACAGACACGAACCAACCAGCTTATCAACAGATACATAATTACAAACTGCTGAGTGCTGTGCAGGAGAAGCAGATGAGGCAGTGAGAATGGACAGTGGGAATATGACTCAATTGGGGAGGTTAGGAAAGGTGTCCCTGAGAGATGACAGATGGAGCCACAATCTGAAGGGTGAGTAGGAGTCAACTCTGAAAGAGAACAGGGGTTAGCCTGCCAGGCAGTGGGATCAGCATGTGCAAAGGCCCTGTGACTGGAGAGAGAAAGGCTCCTACCATCACAGATGGAGTGTAGAGAGACGGGGCAAGGCCATGAGGCTGGAAGCCTGGAAGGTCAGGCTAAGGCAGGGGTTCTCCAACTTAAGCACACATTGCCTGGGGTGCTTGTTAAAATTCTGCTAGACCCCACCCCTAAAGTTTCTGATTCACTGCATCTGGGGTCCAGACTGAGAATGCGTGTTTCTAATAAGTTTGCAGATGGTGTTGATGCTGCTGGCCTGGGGACCACACTTGGAGCTTCACGGCCCTAAGGAGTTCTGTGTCTGTGTTTAAGAGCAATGGGGAACAAGGGGACTTTCATTCTGCATTGGACCCTGCAGGTTTCTGGTTTGTGAAGGAGGAGTGACACTCTCGGCTCCTTTCTTTCCCTGTCAGCCCCCACCTCCCCGACACACACACACACACACACAGCAAATTGGGCAGTGGGCCGTTGGGGGAGTCTTTATCCTGTCCATCCTATCAGGTTCAGATGCCCCTCTCCCGGAGCCTGGCCTGAATCCCTGCCTCTTACAATCATTTCTTGATGTATCACGGGCCCGTCCTCCTGGAAGACTCCATCTGGCTTCTGCTTCTGGAGGATCAGCCATTTGACAGCCCCACAGAGGACCTGGGAGTCGATGGCGATGAGGTTGGAGGCCAGAGCGAAGACCTTGACCACGTAGGCTGTCAGCCTGGGGGTGGGTACAGAGCATGAGCCAATCGGCTCTGGGAGCCAGAGACTGACATCCCAGCCAACCAATGAGAAGAGAGGGGTGGGGCCCGTTTCCCTTCCTGGAGCTCAGGGCCGGGTATTGCCTGCAGCGGGTGCTTAAAGCTTGATGACTGCATGTCACTCAGCCAGCGGGCACCTTGGGTCTGCGGGTGGAGGGATCCATTCACACAGGGCTGCGTGGGCGAGGCCCCCTAGACTACCCGAGGCCAGGATCCGGGCCCTGCTCAGGCCGAGGATGGGCAAGCTGACCACGCGTCTCACCAGGTGCTGGGCGGCCGGCTCAGGAAGGCTGCATAGGCTGAGCTGGGTTGTCTGTAGGCCAGCTGCTGGGTGTACCCTGCAGGGAAGGGAGAAGTGTTGGGAGAGGAGCGGGGGCTGAGAGGAGGGGGGTGGCTGGTGCGGTGTTGACAGGGAGAGGAGGGGTTTAGAGAGGGGACAAGGATGCTATGAGGGGCAGGACAGGGGCTCAGAGAGGAAAGAGGGGGCTCAGGGGAGGCGTATCTGGGGGGAAGGGGGAGCTTAAGGGGAGAGGGAATTAGACGGGGGGGGGGGGGGGCGGTGCCAGAGAGAGGAAGGAGAAGGAGTTCTCAGAGGAGGCGGGATTCAGAGAGGGGAGGGTTCTCAAAGTGGTTCAGGGGCCATGGGGCCTCAGTCGGGGAGGGAGCTCTGAGATGAGGCTCAAAGGGGCCGGGGTCTCAGAGGACGGAGGGGGAGGAGCTCTCAGAGGAAGGCGGGGCCTGGATAGGGGGCGGGGTCTCAGGGAGCACAGAGCTCAAAGACGGGGCTGGTGTGTGTGTGTGGGGGGGGTGGTCACCAAGAGGGTTGAGGGCGCCTACCCTTCTTGATGAGCTCCAAGGACTCCTGCCGCTTCTCCAGGCCGAACTTCTCCCACTGCTCGGTCTGGTCCAGGTAATGCACTGCGATGACCGTGGGCGTCATGCTAATCATGTTCTGCTCGCCGCAGCCCGAGGGCGTCACGATGAGGTGCTTCAGGCGCTCCCCGTCGATGGCGTCCTCTGCCATCTGGGCCACCGGGGTCCCTGCAGCCGGGTAGGAGGTGGGTGCTCAGGCAAGATGTCCCACCCTGGTGTGGGGTGGGATGAGGAGGGACAGGGCTGCTCTCGCTGTTCCCAGGCTCCGACCAGCCAGGGCCAAGGGGTCAGGGACAGCTGAGGGACACGTGATTGCAGGCGGAGCTGCAGGACTGAGTGGCTGGAGTGGCGGGGGGGTCTGCCTCTGTGGGGGCAGGGGCTTTCACTTCACAGGCGCACTCCAGTCTGGGGTCGTCTTGTGACACCATTAGTAAATTCATTCCAGTAACCACAGTCATGACTACTCATATGTGCTTAACGCTATTTGCCAGACTCTGTTCTAAGAGAACACCTTATAGTATCTCATTTAATCCTCCTGACAACCCTTTGATATAGATGCTATTATTTTCCCCCATCACAGATGAGGAAACCAAGGGTCTCTCCTCAGAACCTTACAGCTCACAGGTTGCAAGGTGCCTTTCCAGCTCCTTCTTGTCCCTTCTCACCCCAGTCCTCCCTCCTGGGCAGTTGGTTCCAGAATTTTTGCTGTTGAACTATACAGCTTCTCATTTAAACATCTTCATCAGCAAAAGCTATTTTCTGAGCTAAATACTGCCTGGAACCTTTTATAAAACAGATCAGGGAGAAGTTGTTCTAGCTGAAGCGAAAGAGGCAAGCACGGTGGTTAGGTATCCCCGGAATAGATGGAACTGGGTTCCCTTCTGGGGCCATGGCCCCCCTGACACCTTCCTGGGCCCCGTGGGCTCAGGGCCAAGAGCATCTCACCTTGCAGGAGGATCTTGGTCTCTGACTCCGTGTCTGGGACTTGGTCGCTGAGGTCTGCGGCAGGGACCTCCTCTCGCTGCACTCCATCTGCCAGACGAACGGGGGACTCCGATGGCACCAGCCCCCCCCCCACCCCACCCTGCACCACCCCCCAGGTCCCATGCCCTCGCCCATGGCTGACTCACTTTGGCCCAGGTGTTCTGGATCCAGTGTGCGAACGGCCACGGTTTTGTTGACTCTGATTCCTTCCGGCTAGATGGTGTGGGGATCAGGTGAATGAAATGACAGACAGACAGACAGATGGTCAGCAGAGTGCTGTTGTTTGGGATTACCATACCAGAGACATGGTGGCATCTGCCCTGTCTTAGCTGTGTCACTGGGAGCCAGTCGCTTTGCCTCTCTGTGCCTCTGTTATAAGGAAGAGGCAACACAGACACCTACTTTCATGCTGTTGTCATGAGAATTAAATCAGAAATTAATAACAAAATAAGAAAACCTTTTTGAAATCTTCCTCTGTGCTTAGAAGCTTTACTCATGTTAAGTCAATTGATCTTCACAATGTCAACTTCAGCAAATTTGTCACTTATTTTACCCTTAAAATGAGTTTATTTGGGAAAAGCCAAAGGAATTGCAATCGAGGATGTGTGGGCTATGGCAAACCATAGACAAATGCAGAAAACAAAGGAGGGAGCTGCTTTTACAGAGAAATAGGGGAGTGGGTGGGGCTGCCCTAAAGAAAGTCCATTGGAGGAAAGTAACAGCTCAGGGTGGCAACAGCTTCTCATTGGCTGGGCTGCAGCGTTTCTCATTGGCTGAGCCGCAGCCTTTCTCATTGGCTGAGCTGTTGCCAGGTGGGGAGAGAAATCTTCCTTCACCAGGAAAGTAGTTTAACTTCCTTTGCAAGATGCAAGCTTATGTCTCTTCCTGTTTGGAGTAACTGATGATGTGTGATGGGGCGTGAGAGCTCCCCCTATAGGCCTTCCCGACTCCAAGTTAGTTAAGGTTTCTTTTATTAGTTTCCACAACCACCCCCCAATGAAGAGGATATTGCTATTATCACACACATTTTAAAGATGGGGAAACTGGGGTACAGAGAGGTAAAGTAACTCGCCCAAGGTCACACAGCTAGTAGAACAGAACTGAGGTTTGAACCTTGTAGTCTGGCTCCAGAGTCTGTTTTTAGCCCACTGCCTCTCAATGGGGGTTAATAAAATAGAAATAAAAATAAAATAAATTTTAAAAAGTAAAATAAATTTTTTGGGAGGCCAGCCTGGTGGCTCAAGTGGTTAAGTCTGCACATTCTGCTTTGGCGGCCCCGGGTTTGCTGGTTTGGATCCTGGGTGCGGACCTACACACCGCTTGTCAAGCCATGCTGTGGCAGGCGGCCAACATATAAAAAGCAGAGGATATGGGCAGGGATGTTTGCTCAGGGCCAGTCTTCCTGAGCAAAAAGAGGAAGATTGGTGGCAGATGTTAGCTCAGGGCTAATCTTCCTCAAAAAAAAATTTTAAAAGCAAAAATATAAGTAAATAATAAGTAATAAATAAAAATATAAAAAAGAAAATGAAGATAAGTAAAGGAATGTGCTTAAGTACTTAGCACATAGTAAGCACTCAATTAAAACAGGGGCCATCTTAATTAGCATCAAAGGCCCAACTCAAGCTCTTGTGTGTCTACAGACAAAACTCCACGCTGGACAGCAGCTGTTTTTGCCTTCTGAGAACCTCTTCTCCTTTCACCTGGTAGTAATGCCCAGACTTTCCTCTGCAGACTGATTTTCCTCCAGGAGCATGCTGGTAAATATTTAACATCCACGTTTGCAGGAAGAAAAGATGCTGATGTCTTGTGCTGTCAGTTTCCATGGTGTAAATATCCCCACCATGATGGATTTCAAGCTACCAGGGCAGAAGGGGAGGTGGGGGGCACACTGGCTCTTGGAAGCTGGGCCATGCAGGCTCGTGGACACTGCTGGAAATTCTCCCAATATGCTGAGCCATATTGGAGCCAGATGGGAAAAGAAAAAGTGTGTCCCTAAATAAACCTAAATACTTTTAGGTATTTTTTAATGGCCAATTTTATCCCAGAACATTAAAGTAGTTGGAAATATATGAATCTGTTTCCCTGAAAGCCAGGATAGAAAAATTATAATAAATTCTGGTTTGGGTATAAATAAAACATTTTAATGTAAAATCACACCATCGATTTTATATATGTTTGGTTTTTGGTGTTTCAATATTTTTTTCAACTACTTTAACATTTTGGGGAAAAATTAATCAGTAAAAAAAATACACATAGGCCCATCTATGGGGGCACTCATTTTTCCTTTTGCTTCGGACTCCAGTTTGGCATCACTTGACACTGTCAGATCCTGCCTCTATTGGAAAGTTTAATATTTTGTTGGTTGCGCATATTTTGGCCTTAATTTTGATTTCTTAAAATATTGCATTAAAATATGATCTTGCTTATGATCACACATTTTGCTTTAAAATATCAGTAAGACATGATGAGACATTTTTATTGATGATTTTATCTCTTGTTCTATTTGAAAGTGTTCCACACTGTGAAAAATAGTAGACCTAACTGTTAACATATTATTAAGGGTAAATTCATAGGTAAAAATAGAAATTTTCTATGTTCTTGCATCGTATATTATTGCTTTATAAAGTTTGTTCTGTAAAATATGTTTTCCCAAGATTTTTAAAGTCAAAAGAAAACTCCTATACTGAAATGTGTCACAAAATATCATATTTGATATTAAAATATATTTTAACAAAAAGATATATTATTGGTCTTTATTACCGACCTTTTGGCATCCCCTAAAATTCCATGCCCAGAATTGGCTCACCCTAATCCTGGCCCTGCTTCCGATTTTCTAGGACTCCCAAATTTCCTAAGCTGGACATTCTTGGTGGCTCAGAGCCTGGGTCTCCAAACTGGATTGACAGCACGGGGAGGACAGCAGCCTTTCCTGAAGAACAAGGGGCAACAGGTGCCCCAAGGACTCACCACGACCCTCAGGGTCTTCTTGACACCATCGCTGATGAAGTAGTGGTAGACGGCAGCCTTGACCTCCACCTCCTGTAGGCCGGTCTTCAAGGGCACAATGACATAAGGCACAGCCAGCGAGGACTTTGGCGGGATGGTCACAGTCTGCTGGTAGCGCCTCTTGGAGGTGGCCAGGCTGCAGAATGCTGGATTGTAGAGCAGTTCCACCCTCACCTGCCGGGGGCCGAGAGTATCAAGCCAGGGGCACGTGCCGTGGGTCCCCCTCCAAGCCCCCCACCGCGCCTCTGCTGTCGCAGGGCCCACCTTGAGCTCTTCTGCCTCCCGGTAGTTGTAGAGGACAGCTCGGATCTCCACCTGCTCGTTGCGCACGACAGAGTAGGGCAGCCGCAGGTCAATGAAGAAGTCTAGCATCACTGTGACCTCATAGGGGTCAGCCACGCAGATCCCTGCCCAGGTGGAAGCAGAACGCGGGGTGTCAGGGGTGTGGGATGGATGGGGTGGACAGGGTCCGAGTTTGAGTCCAAGTTTCCTGCCCCCCCCCGCCCCAGAGTCTCAGAGCTTACCCCTGACCACGGGAACTGTCTCAAGCTCAGCCTGTCTTTGAAAAAGGAGCCCGTAGACTATAAACAATGTTAATGGTGGTAAATCACAGAGGGGGATGGTGGCTGGGAGTTTCCGTGATTTAGTGATTCTCATTTTCTTTGTGATTTTATTCATAGATAGATGTGCAGGAGGGAAGAAGGCATCATTGAAGGGTCCACATCTGTGCTCCCCAGAAGGGAAGCCCCAAGTCCCTCCTGGTCACTGGGCACTTCTGAAATATGGCTAGCTTGAGCGGACACTGGACTCCTTCTATTTCATTTTAATTAATCAGATTTAAACTTAAAAACCAGTGCTCACTGTGAATATCCTAAAACCCACTGAATTGTGCACTTTCAAAGGGTCACTTTTATAGCATGTGAATTATATCTCCATTTTTAAAATCATGCTTGATTCAGTGATTGCAAACTTTTAGGTAAGTTTCAGACAATGTGAGTATGCCGAGCTACTTTTTCAACTGTAAATTTTACGAATCTTAAAATATGGATCAAAGTCTTCCCAAGGAAAAGTTAGCAATCCTAACTGAGATGCACTGTAAGTATAAAGCACACACCAGATTTCAAAGGCTTAGTACAAATAATAGTAAAATATATCATTCATAATTTTGAGATATTAATAGGGTATTCCTAACTATTGATGGATTTATTTTTGTAACATTATTATTAGTGTCATAGTGGTTTTGTAAATTTTTACAAATGTTGAAATGATAATATTTTGGATATATTTGGGTTAAATAAGATGTCTTACTAAAAGTGATTTCATCTACTTTTTTTATGGTCCTCCCCCAAAATTTAAAATGACATATATGGCTCACATTATATTTCTGTTGGAAAGTGCCAACCTGCCTTGAGAAAAAATGATGCTACAAACATGGTTACTTGTGATACAACAGTTACCAGATCAAATTAGAGCAAAGTGTTGATGCAAGTGAAACTTACAAAACCACTATCACATTAAAAGTAATGTTACACTAAGAAATCTATTGATTTAATAATAATTTCTTTGTTTATTCTTTTTTTTCTTTTGCTGAGGAAGACTGGCACTGAGCTAACACCTGTTACCAATCTTCCTCTCTTTTCCTTGAGGAAGAATGGCCCTGAGCCAACATCTGTGCCAATCTTCCTCTATTTTGTATGTGGGACACCGCCACAGCATGGCTTGATGAGTGATGTGTAGGTCCATGCCTGGGATAGGAACCTGCAAATGCCAGGCCATCAAAGCAGAGAGCACAAATTTAACCACTATGCCACCAGGCCAACCCTTTTGCTTATTATTTAATGGTGAAAGAAAATAATAACCAGAGGCATGAACAGAATCCCTATTCTCCAACCTACAGCCATTTATTCATCACCCTCAAGGTCTGTTATAGTCACTGGTGCTATTTACCTTCCTTAGCAACAATTTGTTTTTACATTTTTTAAACTCAAATTTAACATGGTATCATTACGGTACATGAGAAACCCAGCTTCCTGTGCCATAAATAGGAGGTTACCCCAAGGAAAACAAAACAATTTTGTTAAATACTGGCTAGTTCATGTTGCCTGCAGAAAGCTAGACCTCTTCCCTCTCTTTGTTAAAAAATAAATAAATAAAAGGGGTTAAACAAGAATTGGAGCGGAGGTGATAGCATCCTTGCACCAGACTTAGTTTTTCTTCTGGAAGGAGGTGGAAGGATGGAAAGAGAACTAAAAAGCATTGACGTCTGACACCCAATTTGTGTCATTTTTAAGGAAGTCAATCAATTTTTCTGTGTGATACTGTAACAGTGGGTACATGTCCTGATACATTTGTCCAAACCCACAGAATGTAACACCAAGAGTGAGCCCTAAACTGTCACCTCCAGTTAATAACAACGTATCAATATTAGCCCATCGATTGTAACCAATGGGCTACATTAATGCAAACAGGAGTTAACGATACGGGAACTTGGGGAAAGTGAGGAGTATATGGCAATTCTCTGCACTTTTTCCTCAATTGTTTCTGTAAACCTAAGACTGTTTAATAAAATCTATTAATTAAAAAAGGAGCGATTCTGATGCATGATTTGTATTATTTAAGAAAGTATCTATGCAGCTCTGAAAGGCATCTGCCCTTGGACTCTAAAATACATTTGACTCCAATAACAATCATCATCATAATAATGGCTCATTCATTAAACATTAATAATGTGCCAGGCACTATTATAAGGGTTTTACATGTATTAATTCATAAAATCCACCCAACAACGCTTTGAGTAGGTACTATTTGTCTCATGCCCATTTTATGGATGAGCTAGAGAGACTGAGCAACTTGACTCAGCCCACACAGCTGCCCAGGGGACGACCTGAGGTTGGAACCCAAGCCCTTGAGCTTAGGAAGCTCCCCGCTTCTAATCCTATTGACTCTTCAATTCCTAACAGCTCAGGAGATGAAAAATTTCCAAGTTCCATCGATTACAATGCTAAAATTCTGAAGCTCTAAAGTTGATTTCTTGAAAGGGCCATCGACTGGTGGTCTTGGATGAACCAAGTCACCTTCCTTCCCTGGCTTCAGTACCTTCGTTTAGAGAATAATAGTACCAACTTCATAGAGTTCTTGTGAGCATTAAGTGAGATAGGATGTAGAGCGTTACCGCAGTGCTTGGCAAGACAATGATATTGCAAAGATGTCGCAAAGGCACAGAGAGCAGATTCTAAAACCACAGGGCCCTTTGGGATTCTGCCCCTCCAGGGGACATTTGGCAATGTCTGGGGACATTTCTGGATGTCACAACTTGGGGAATGGGTACCGGCATCTAGCAGGTAGAGGCCGTGAATGCTGCTCAACATCCTGTATTGCACAGGGCAGCATCCTACCACAAATTACAATCCAGCCCAGAAGGACATCGGTGATGAGGTCGAGAAATGCTAGTGCAGGGCAGAACGTCTCCAACTTTCATGTGCACACAAATCTCCGGGGATCATATTAAAATGCAGGTTCTGATTTGGCAGGTCAGGGGTGGGGCCCAAGATTCCGAATTTCTAACCAAATTCAGGTAAAGCTAATTTATCAGGTTGCTACTGCTCCAGGGCACATGCTTCAACCAGCAAGGATCCTCACACAGACCTCAATATATGAAAATATCCAGCAGGGAAATATAAAGATGCTCTGACTTGAAACAGGGATGGGAGCCACAAACCAGAACCATACTGAGCTGTACTGGTGTCCTAGGCAAAAAGAAACCTATATGTATATGACTTTATTTGAGCTCATCACTTGCTCAAGAGGAATTGTCAGAAAATTTCAATTCCTTCAATCAGAAACAAGACAGGCAAAGAAGCAGAAAATCTTGAAGCCAGGAAAGTAAAATGATAGTAAAGTATAATTTATTATAAATTAGAACTAAGCAAAATTATAATACAGTATAATAAATAGTGACTTTGATATAAATAAAATATTTATACTTACTGTTGCGAGCTTTGATATACCTGCTTTTTCATGTTTCAACATTTTTTCAACTACTTTAATGCTTTGAAAAATATTAACCTTTAAAATATACATAAAGCATGCATATGGGGCACACCTTTTCTCTCTTGCCTCAGACCCCAATATGGCTCGGCGCGGTGCTGAACTCTATTTAAAAACTGGATATTTTGTTCATCATGGGTTCCTTTGCATTTGCTTTGATTTTTAAAAACATGTTGCAGTAAACTCTTGATGGCTGAGTTTTTTGGCACCCACTTATATTTTGCACACAAAATCAGTGCATCGCCTTCAACACCCAACTCTCTCCTCTTCTATAAAACACCGCATTTGGCCAGAGCTTGTCAAGGTCTCACATCCAGCTGTCAGCAGCGAGTGGGACAGGCAACACCTTTTTGGCCTGTTTCCCAATCTGACCACTAATGTTTCAATAGCTCTTTGCATCTTGCTTCCTCTCCTATTTTTCTTAATCGCTTAACCCACTCTCACGTCGACATCACCCCCTTAAAGGATTTTGTTGTTGCAATTGTTCTGTATGATACAGTAATGGTAGATACAAATCATTACACATTTGTCCAAATGCATAGAATGTATGACACCAACTGAGCCGTCATGTCAAGTATGAACTTGGGGTGACAATGACCCCATGTAGATTCCTTGATTGTAACAATTGCGCCACTCTGGTGCAGGATGTCGACAGTGGGGAAGGCTGTGCATGTGTGTGTGTGTCGGCGGCGGGGGCAGAGAGTATGTGGGAAATTTGTATACTTTCCACTCAATTTTGCTGTGAAACGAAAACTCCTTTACAAAGAAAATCTATTTACAAAAAGCACTGACTACGTCACCCACAGTTCTAGACTCTTGACTCCCCTCAGCAACCAGGGGGCAAGGGACGAGCCACCAAGAAACAGAGGCTCTGTCAGGGTGGGACGAGAAAATGCCCAGGATCCCTGGGGCCCTGCCTCCTGAGGTCGGGGCCCCCACCTTCCCTCACCTTTCTTGTCCGACAAGCTCACAGCCAGAATCTCCCAAGTGGTGATGGAGTCTTTCAAAAACACGTTCATGATCTTGGTGGAGATTCTGGATGGGGGAGAGAAGGGGACATCAGGAGAAGGCATCGAGCAGAGTGGAGGGGGACAGCTGGTATGGAGGGGCCCCAAGGGCCCGGTTGGAAGGGAGCACATGTAGGTAGCAACATTCTTGGTTTTTCTGGGCTGGACTGTGGGGTTCCACAGTGATTCCAGAAAAGAGGGGGGATTGGAGGTGCATGCAAATTAAAGAATCTGGTCTGGGGCATTGATAGGAGCTGGCCCAGGGGTGGATTGAAGTGGGGGGTACTCAAGATTTACCCATTTTTCTCTGGTTCTTTTAATTCCTCTATGGTCCACAGCCAACTCTCAGGGAACTGGCTTCGGGAAACGATGTCCTCTTCTGGCATGATGTCTTCATCCAGGTCACCTGCGAAGGTTGGGGGTGCAATCTGGGTTTACAACAGACCCACTTTCCCCACTGTGCCCTTAAATATTCATCTCGGCAGCCCTGGAGGGGTTCTTAGTAGGGGAACACACCCACAGCTGTATGATGACTTTTGGGGGGGGCCAGGCATGTTTGATTTTGGGGGATCCTTCCTCCATAAAAAAAATATTAAAAATCAGATTTTAGGGGCTGGGCCCGTGGCTTAGTGGTTAAGTTTGGCACGCTCCACTTCAGCAGCCTGGGTTTGGATCCCTGGAGTAGACCTACACCACTTGTGGGTGACCATGCTGTGGTGGCGACCCAGATACAAAAACAGTGGAGGATTGTCAACAGATGTTAGCTCAGGGCGAATCTTCCTCAGGAAAAAAAACAAATAAATAAAAATGAATCACATTTTACAAGTGTGTTGCTGTAACAGCAAAAATAATTCAGGCTGGGTTACATTCCCTTTTTTTCCCCCTCTGATTTTCAAAGGAATGAAAGCATTTGTGTGCACCTCGAAAAGTGGCACAGCTCCCCACCCCCGCCCCCAACACCAGGCTCGCTGTGTCTGATGGTCATATCGATCCTGAAAGTAACTGAGAGATTCCCCAGACTTGATGTAGACTGCTGAGGAGATGACAGCCTTTAAAAGCCAGCTCGATACCATCAGCCAATAAGCAAAGTCAGGCTGGGGTAGAATTCAACACTGGCTGAGCTTTCTTCAAGAAATGATGGACAGATTTTAATTTGTCTCTGGGTTTCCCTAACAACAAAGTAGGTAGGATTCCGTAAATGCTATACCCGCTCATACTCTAGAATAAGCTATCCAAGTGTCTTTGGGGTGCTAACATGTAAGCCACCCTCTGTCACCCCGAATTGGCTAAAGAAATTGTGCAAAGCTGGGGAAAAAAGCATCCATGTGCTTATAAACCATATCCCAGTAGGTCAGAGGTTTTCTCTCCCTTTCCCAGTAGCCCTTTCTATCTTTGTCAAAAAGAGTTTCTGGGTCACTGGAATGGAAAGCAGCATGCCTAAGTCAGTATAATTTGCAAAAAGGTGGAAGGTAGTGTACTTTGCTCATGTGTGTTGGGAATCGTTGTGTCTTTTTTGGGGGTGGGAGGACGGAAGGGGTGCTAGTTTTTTGGCTAAAAGAATTTAGAAATATCTGTCCATTTTGGCAATGGCTGCTTTGGACAGGCGGCTGCTTATTTCTAAGCCGAAAAAAGAGATAGAGGTGTGCACAAAAAAATCATGCATTACCATGTAAGGAGTCCTTATCTGTTATCTTAAATGCTAAGCAAAAACAGGTTTTGGGGAAAATCTCCCTGGGCTTAAATCTTGCCGTGATCTGATAATTAAAAGAAATTTTAAAAAATAACTATATAAGGGGGACCAGCCCCGTGGCCTAGTGTTTAAGTTTGGCATGCTCCACTTCGGTGGCCTGGGTTTGGATCCCAGGTGCAGACCTACACCACCCATCGGTGGCCATGCTGTGGCGGTGGCTCACATACAAAATAGAGGAAGACTGGAGCAGATGTTAGCTCAGGGCCAATCTTCTTCAGCAAAAAAACCCAAACAAACAAAACAAAAAACACTAAAAAAAAAAAACAAACCTATAAAGGAAGAAAGAGGAACGTCACAATGGCAAAACCCAGCAGACCCTGTCTTAATTAAGAGATCAAGGTTTGCATCAGCAATAACGGGACAAATTGGTGCCATGTGCCTCAACGTCAACGATAGGATGCACCAAGAAGGACATAATCTCTCTTCTGTGATAGTCTTACCCAAAAGGCAAAACCTGAATGTGATTATGAAGAAACATCAGACAGACCCAAGTTGCGGGGTGATCCCGAAATATCTGGCCTGTATACTTAACGTACATCAAGAACATGGAAGTCACAGAAAGACGATGAAGTGCTAGGGATGGGCCAGATCTAAGGAAACTAAAGAGACCCTGACATTAAACGCAACCTGTGTTTCTGGACCCCGTCTTTTTCCTATAAAAGTCCAAACCAAAACAACTGATGAAACTTGATTGGGGTCTGAGAATTTCATGGTGGTAATGAATCAACCTCACACAGGGCCTCCTCCCCCATCAGACAGGGCCTCCTCCCCCCTCAGACAGGGCCTCCTCCCCTCCATGAGACAGGGCCTCCTCCCCCATCAGACAGGGCCTCCTCCCCTCCATGAGACAGGGCCTCCCCCATCAGACAGGGCCTCCTCCCCCATCAGACAGGGCCTCCTCCCTCCCATCAGACAGGGCCTCCTCCCCAGGCCCCCGTCACTCACTCCTGGCCAGGCCCAGGGGATAATCCCGCCTGTGTTGGAGCCGCAGCTGGGTGATGTGGGTGCAGCAGTCCAGGAAGGCCTTCACGCACGCCTGGCTGTGGAGGATGAACTGGGCCCTGCGCTGGCACGAGAAGCCCATGGGGTTCTCCCGCATGCCGTGCTCGCAGCACTTGCGCAGCTCCTTGTCCTTGTACTGGCCCGCTGCAGGGGCACAGACCCCACTCACAGCCGGAGGAACTCAGGACAGACCCCGGGGAGGACTGCCTCAGGGCCCGGCCCTCCCTTCCTCCCTCTTTGGCTGGGATCCTGAATGGGCAAGGCCCAGGGTCGGGAGGCGGGCGAGGGCCAGCAGAGGGGTCCCACCTTTGTCCATCCTCTTCTCCATGAGCTGCACGGAGCGGCGTCGCCGGGCGGCTGGTTTCGGGCACTCAGGATCTGGGGGGCAGGGGGACCAGGAACAAGCTGGATTAAGCACCTACTGGACATCCTTGGCTTACTCCTCACAGTGGCTGTGAGGTAAGGATGCCACTGCTCCAATTTGACAGGTGGAGAAACTGAGGCTCCATCTCAGTAAGAGAAGTGACTTGCTAGACGGTGGTGGAGGCAGGACTTGAACCTGGGGTCCCCTGAGCCCAGAGTCCTGCCCTCAACATGCCTCAGCATCTGAGAGGTGGAGGCACGGTCCTGCCCTGGCCCAGCGCTGGCCGCATCCTCACCTGCCCTCTGGGCGGTCTGCAGGTCTTTGTTGGTCTTGAGAGCCAGCCCAGCATCCATGAAGACGCCGGCATAGTCCCTCCCACTGCCGGGCGTGCAGCCAATGTCTGCCTTCTCCACTGTGTCCCAGATCTGCAGGGTGGGAAGGGGGTCAAGGGGAGCATGAGGCCAGGCCAACAGTGCCTTCACCAATTCACTAACATGTCCATCCAACCCACCTCCATCCTCATCCCGGTCCCTGGCCGTCCACAGTGGATGGTTCCAGACTACGTGGCATAGAGCCATGTCCATTCCCATGACCATCTCCAACCTGGACCCTTGACCATTCAGATTCCCATTTTTACCCTGACCACCAACATATCCCTATGTCCATGTCCATTCTCACCTCTTCTTTCAACCCTCACCTAAACCCACTTCATCTGTTCTCCCCAGTGCCAATCTCACCTCAGCCCAAAGCCACCTCTTTGCCTGCACCATTGTCAACACCCCTCAGTTTTGTGGGGCGTACCTTCCTCTGTGTCAACTTGTTCTTCTTATTCAGCACAAACACGCCCTTGTCCACAGCCACCAGCCCCACTCGGGCCCCCCGGTCACCCTCTATCTTGAGGGTCATCTGTTGCCCAGGCAGATGCTGCTTCTCCTCCTTGCCACCACCTTTCACCACCAGCTGTGAGGAGGGTGGAGGGGGGAGGGTAAAGTCAGTCCTGTCAGGCCCCCGTGTCAGTCAGCCGAGGACAGAGGAGATCCTGGGCTGGGCTGGAAGGACAGAAAGGTGGAGACAGAGAGAGAAGAAGGGAGATGCACAGAACCAGGATCAGGCAGAAAGGCAAGGAAAGAGAGACAACTGGGAGCAAAAGAGATACTGAGACTGAATCAGAAAAGGAAGAAAGAACAAGATGGAAAAGGAGAAGAGAGAGGCAGAAACTCTGCGAACGTTGGAGAGAAATGGATTCAGAAGGCTGGAGAGAGGCAGAGCCAGAGGCACAAGACAGAGAAAGGATGGCCAGGCGGAGAGTCGTAAGATGGGCAGAGAGAGGGGGATGCAGGGAAGCTCACCGTGCCCACGCACGAGTCCTTGACGTCCACCCACACGGAATCGGCCACCACCTCCCTCTGGCCTTTGGCGTTGATGAGCGTGTAGTAAGCCACCAGGCGGAAGGAAGGAATGAAGTCCGTAGTGATGGTCAGGGGCAGCACCACCAGGGCCTGGCCGGGCTCTCGCACCTGGCGTCCTGCTTTCAACAACTTCCCCTTGTTCATGATCTGGGGGGGCAGGTTGGCATAAGGATGGGGAAGATGGGTGGGAGGATGGAGGGGATCCAGGATGGGGGAGTGCTCCTGGGGGTGCTGGAGAAGCGAGGAGGAGGGGCTGGGGATTCTGGGAAGCCACAGACCAGGTAGGTGTAGTAGCGAATCTTGGCCTCCTGGCCCGGGTCCGTGCGCAGGTGGAAGTTGACATTGAGGGTCTCCCCAGGCTTGAGCTCCGTGCGAGGCACGGAAAGGTGCAGGTAGTTTCCGGAGCCGCCCAGGGTGTTGTAGGGGTGGGCCTGCATGGTCTTGGTGGCCTGTCGGGCATCCGGGATACCCTCCTTCCTTGTTTTTACCTGGGCAGGGAAAGAGGGATGCATGTGGGTCCCCCAAAGATGTCCCCATCCTAATCCTGGGACCTGGGAATGTGGGACTTTGCAAATGGGATTGAGCTGAAGATCTGGACACGGGGAGATCATATTGGATTAGTCAGGTGCGTCAAATGTAGTCACAAGGGTCCTTATAAGATATCCAGGCAGATGGCAGGACACCACTCTGCAGACAGGAGCCCCTCTACGGCAAAGAAAACACCTCTATGTGCATGGCAAGACTCCTTTATGCAAATAAAAGGACCCCCACCGTGCACATGGCAGGATCCCTTTGTACAAACGACAGGACCCTGCTGTACCAATAAAGTCCCCGTCTCCCCGGTGTAGGGTCCCGAGGCTGGCGCAGACTCACAGTGATGGTCAGGGGCTGCTGGCTATTGGGGGTGTTGATGCTCAGCTTGGCCACGCCATCATCCTGGGTTAACGACTGCACATTGCTGCCCTGGGTGACCACGGGGATGCGGCGGGCTGGGGAGCCGTCGGGGTTCGTCACGAACACCTGTGGGTGCAGGGGCAGGTGGAGGGGGTTGAGGCAGAACCAGAGGTGTGGCCAGAGTTCAGGAGCAGGGTGGGGGGTGCAGCCCCATCCTGGGTCTCACCATGAGGTCGAAGGGCATGGCTGGTTTGAAGAACTTGGGCGTCTTGGTGAAGTGGATCTGGTAGGGGGAGGTCACGATGGGGATCCCGCTGCGCTCCGCCTCCACCATGTCGCTGCCTGAGGGGGCCAGCCATGAGGATGGGGTCCTGGACACCCTTCAGGCCCAGGCCTCCTCTCTCAGATTGGACCCTGCCTTCAGATTGGGCCTCCCCCCTCAGACTTGGCCTTCCCTATCAGACTGGACCCCACCTTCATTCTCGGTCCCCTCCTCGCTCAGATGGGCCTCCCCTCTCAGACAGGACCACATGGTGGTGCTGGGCCTCCACCCTCAGACCAGGCCTCACCTGAGTGCAGGATGACGGTCACAGACACGTACAATGACTTCCCCACCAGGGCATCCGCTCGTGAGGGCTGTACCCCATTCAGCAGAACGTCTCTTTTCAGCACGGCCTCCCCAGTGCCGTCCTCGATCTGGGGGAGGAAATGAAGGCTCAGGGAGCAGAAGGGCTCAGATGGGAGGGAGGGGTTCAGAGGGGGCCTCTGTCAGGTACCACAACACGGGTGAGGGACTGGGCCAGCGAAATCCTTCGGTCACCATCCTGGACCCCAAAGATGACAAAGGCTGTTCCATCCACATTCTTCCCATATAAGAACCTGCAAGGTGAGGACAGTCTCAGATTCTTCCCTCCTGAAAAGGTGAGTTTCTGCCCCAAACCTGCACTGACCCAGAGCCCCCGGTCTCTCACCTCACCCTCACCTGGCCCTTTCTTGGCCCTTACCTCACCCCTTATCTGGTCCCTCGCCTGTCCCCTCAGCTCATCCTCATGTGGCCCTCATCCAGTCCCTTACCTGACTCTCACCTGTCCCCTCACCTGGCCTCTCACCTGGCCCCACCCCTAACCCCTCACCTGGCCGTGATGGTGACCTCCAGGCCATTCGGATCATCAATGTAGTAGAATTTCTCTGTGGGCTCCACTTGGACCTCGAAACTGGGGAGCACTGTGTGGGGACAGACAGTGGTGGTGGGGGGCCGGCTCTGGGCCCAGCCTGACGGACCCCCGCCCGGGTCTCTCATCCTCTTACCATATTCCTTCACCTCGAACTCGGCGGAGAAGACCTGCTGTGGAGAGTCTTCATAATGGACTCGGATCTTCCACTGCCCCATGCTGCGGAGAAGGCAGGCGAGTGATCCGGCCGGGCCCGGCAGCCCCCCACCAATCAGCCCGGGCTGGGGGGGCCCTGAACCCCCTCCTGGAGGGCAGGACATACTTGACCAGCTCCGGGATGTTCCAAGACAAGGGCAAGATGCCAAACTGGTTGTGAGAAGACAGGGAGTCCCGCTTGATTTGAATGCCATCGGGGGTCTGTGGGGAGACAGGGAGGGGTGTGGCCCTTTACATTATCCCTTTGGCTCTCCTCTCCCTCTCTGTGTAGGGCACTCTCCTTGTGTCCTGACCACAGGGACGTTGGTTAAGAACATGCACCTCAGTCAGTCAGCCTGGGTTCAAATCCCCACTGTGCCGCTTACAAGCTGTGTAACCTGGGGCAAGTTACTTCACCTCTTTGTGCTCAATGTAAAAGAAGATAAATATAGCCCCTACTTCACTGACTTGGAACGTAGTTAATATAAGCTCATGATTACCTGTGTCTCTCTGAATTCAAGTAATAACTAGCATTTATTACCTACTTTTCTGCTGGACCCAGGGCTAAGCATGCAGTGTGTGCTAAGCCACACAGAAGTGCCTACATTCAGCTTTTTGACCCATAAGAATAGCAATTTCAGGGGCTGGGCCCATGGCTGAGTGGTTAAGTTCATGCCCTCTGCTTCGGTGGCCTGGGGTTCACTGGTTCAGATCCTGGGTGTGGATCTACGCACCGCTCATCAAGCCATGCTGTGGTAGCATCCCACACAGAAGAACTAGAATGACTTATAACTAGGATACACAACTATGTACTGGGGCTTTGAGGAGGGATAAAAAAAAGTGGAAGATTGGCAATAGATTTTAGCTCAGGGCCAATCTTCCTCACGCACAAAAAAAAAGAAGAACAGCAATTTTGCGTGGTTTCACCTAATACACATATTACTTCATTGTTGTCAATGGTGAGACATCAGCAGACACCAAGTAAAAATCTGGTTTTCTGGCTTCTCTTGGAAATTGGGATATCTGTGGATAATGCATGTCTGATGGCACAAGGTGACATCTAATTAGAGCTAGGCAGATCTGTGCCTTTAGATGGGGTGTGTGTTCTCTGTTCTCCAGGGATCCCACCAGCCCCCAAACCCAGCGCATGGCCATCAGAACATGGTCCCTGTTAACTTTGCATGATTTCAATAAATACTCGTGAAGATCCTATGAGGAGGACATCCCTCCTCCCTCCCTTTTCCCCTCCCACTCTCCCTCCCTTCTTCCAGTAAGTTCTTACTAAGCTCTACTATATGCCAAGTACCGTGTGGGGTTCAGGAGATAAGGCCCTGAACAAACAGATAAAAATCCCTTCCCTTATGGAACTTAGGTTCAGTGGAGTTTGGGAGAGAGGGCAGTTAAGAAATGAAGGAATCCAGTTTATAGGGTGCCAGGAGAGGGCAGGAAGGGAGGAGAGTGGGGTGTGTGAGTGTGTGTGTAGGGGGTTTTTACAATTTTACAAGGGGCTCAGGGAGGCCTCACCTTGAAGGAGGGGAGGGGGCAAGCTGTGTGGCTATTTGGAAAAAGAGGATTTTCTGGGCAGAGGGATCAGCCTGTGCAAAGGCCCTGAGGCAGGACCTTGGCTGGCATGTTGGAGGAACAGTGAGGAGGCCCATGTGGCTGGAGCTGATGGAGCGAGGGGGAGATAGGGGGGAGAGTAGGGCAGGGAGGGGACGGGACAGGTTGGGTAGGGCCTGGGGGGCCCCTGAGGAGGACTTGGGCTTTTACCCTGAGGGAAGTGGGAGTCCTGGAGGGCTGTGGGAAGAGAAGAGAGGGAGCTGACTCTGGCTGCAGTAGGCAGAACAGACTATATAGCACTATTATTATTTGTCATTATCCCAATCTTCAGATAAGGAAACTGAGGCTCAGGAAGGTGAAGAGACCTGTCCAGAGTCAGGCAGTGACCAGGGGTTTATCTAGAGCTGGAATCAGGTGGGAGCATCACTCCACGCCCTAGGTCCCTGCCTCATCTCTGATCCTCCCCCTGTTTGTGCCTCGATGTGTTTCTTTGCCCTTGGGTCTCTGCTGCTGTGCCTGACCCAGTGTCTCTGTCTCTGTCTCCATGTCTTGTCTCTCCCGAGTCTCTGCCCGGGTGTGTTTAGGGCCCTGGCTGGTTGGTACCTCGATGCTGACGATAACGGTCCTGCCCACGGGCAGCAGCTTGCTGTCAAGGGTGAAGATCCGATACAGGACTGGGAGGAGGCAAGAGAGGAAGGGACAGATGGTGAGGCCCTGCCTCTCCCCACGCGCCTGCCCCCGCCCTCTCCAGCCACCCTCCAGCCCCTTACCCGTGGAGCCTGGGGTGTAGATGGTCTTGTCGGTCTGGATGAAGAGGTACCCGCTCTGAGCACCGACCAGCACCACCTTCTCCACCGTGGTGCCCCCGAAGGACGCATGGACAGTCACGAAACTCTGCCCCTTTGCTGATCTCAACTCCTTGCTGGCCGGGATCTAGGCAAGGACCAGTGCATCCTTAGGGGTCTGCTTCAGGGCCCCGGGTCCCGGGTCCAGCCTCTGGACCTTGGGCTGGGTCCACACCTGCCCCGCCTCACAACAGAGCCTGCCATCCCTCCTGGTCTCCCCCGTTTGCCCAGGTTTGGGGAATGGGGGGAGGGGATCTGGGAGATGGGGTAGGGATCCGAGAGGGGGATGGGGAGAGGGAACCAGACAGGGGGTCAGAGGACGGGAGTTCAGAAGGGGAAGAGGGCTCAGAGACGGTCGGATGGGAAAGGGTGGGGTTCAGAGGAGAGACTTAGAGATGGGAAGGGCGCTGAAGGAAGAGAGGGCTCAGAAACGGAAGGCGCTCAGATGGAGAGGGGCTCGGAGGGGTGGGTCTCAGAGGGGAATGCATTAGCAGGGGGAGGGTCTCAGAGAAGGGGGGGGGTGTCAGTAGGTCCGGGCTCCAGTGTGCTCCCACCTTGATGGTGACCGTCCCCAGGTAGCCATTGGCTTTGGTCAGTATGGTCTTCTCGCTGGACAGCACTTGCTTCTTGGCCGGGAAGTCTTGGACGGTGACAGTGACAGACACGTCCCCTTGTACTTCGTGGGCCTCCAGCACCACCATCTCCTGGTTCTCCAGCCGCAGGATGTTGGGGGTGATCATGGAGAACCTGCCAGAGTGGGGTATGGGGGTGGAGCTGACGTCCCAGGGAACCGACACTCCAGCTCATCGGAGTCAGCGCTGTCCCCGGGGCTCTGCCCGGCCCCTGGTCCTGGAGGGTTCCAAGGACCTGCGACAGCCAGGGGTTGCAGATTCCATTGACCCCTGAACCTCAAAGCCTAACCAGCAACTCCCCAAGACTCTGGACTTCCAAACCCATAATTGCCTAAGCCCACAGTCCTGGAGCCCTAACCCCTAAACCTTCAAACTCCCGCAAGTCTCTAAACACCCAACCCTCTACATGCCCAACACCTCATGCTCCGAACCTCTAAACCCCAAATCCAGAAACACTCTAAACCTAAGCCTCTAGCAGACCAAGCTTGTAAACACAACCACATCCACCCCCCAGTCGACAAAAACCAAACAGCAGATCCCTAAGCTTGCAAATGCTGATGCTCCCAAATCCTGTGAGGTCCAGGTCTCTGAGATTCCCAATCACCCCATCAGGAGTATCACTGAGCACCCCATAAGCTCTGGACCTACAGGCCCCCGGTTCTATAACACCCGACCCCCGTCCCACAGCACCTGAATTCCACAAGCTCTCGACCTCACAGGCAGCCCCAACTCATAAACATCCTGACCCGTGAGCCACAGACACCCCAATGCACCTGAATTCTGAAGGGGCTGCTCCCCACAAATGCCCACTCCCACCTCAGAAGCAGCCTTAATGGGGGTGGGGTCGGGACTACTCACAGGGGGTCCCCCAGGGCCAGGGGGAGGCTGCTCAGCAGAAGCAGCAGCAGGCTGGGACCCGAGGCAGGCCCCATGGTGCAGGGACCGTGGAGGGACAGAGGGACGGAGGGACTGAGGGAGAGGACGGGGAGGAGTGAGCAGAGACCTCTGGAAGCCTCCTCTTATCTGGTGCCCGCCTCCTTCTCCCCTTGAGCCCAGCCCTCCACCCCCCGTCCCCCCCCTCTTCCCTGGGACTGCCCCAGATTTCTCAATCCCATTTCTTAAATTTTTCAATGCCTGGGGCAGGCACACCCTGGGGTAAATAACCTGAGGGCCTGTCCTCCTGCAGCATGAACAGAACTGCCCCTGTGCTGGACTCCCTCAGGGTCAAGGCCAGCTGGTGGACGGGGACCTCTTCCTGTCACATCCCCTTTGTGCTGGAGGAATAGTGAGGGCCAGAGAGCCCCCCACCTCGGGTATCTGGGCCTGGCCTCCCGTCCACTTTTAACCATGCATTTATTAACCAAATTCTTCCCATGAGTCCATCTCTTGGCTGGTAGCTAGAGTCTCACTTCCATGCTAGGCTGAGGACAGGGGACAGAGTCCAGCACAGACGCTCCTAGCCCCATGGAGTGTCTTCCCCAGTTGAGACGAAGAACTCTGCTTCTTGGAGAGTCGGGGAAGGCTTCTTGGAGGAGGGGACATTTCAGCTGGGCTTTGAAGTATGTGTAGGAGTCCCTACCCAGGTGAGGGTGTTTCCTAGGGCAAGGGGAACCTGGAGCTCCCTTTACCTACCCTTCTCAAGATGCCTGAGTAGCTATGATGGTTAAAGCAAGTCATCATTGAGGAAAGTCCCCATTGCTAGCTTTTGTATCTTTCTTAAATCAACATTCTTTTATGATATTATTATTATAAATTGTATCTAATGTTTTGTGTGTGAGTAGCTAATAAGTTCATACAGTTCAATATCTAAAAGGTCAAAGTGGATATACAGGAAAAGGTAATCGTTCTGCCATTCTTGTTGCCAGCCATCCAGGTCTCAGAGGCACCATGTAAGCACATCTGGAGTGTCTTTGCATGGGTATCTAATGCGTTTAGAAACATTCACAAGTTTTGCAAACAACTATCAGTATGCTCCAATACTATTATTCTTCCTGGCCTCCCTGGGTTACACCTTGCTTTTTCATAAACAGTATATCTTGGAGATTGTTTCATTTCACTGCAGAGAGCTTCCTTGTTCTTACAGGCACCTGCCTCCTATTACATGGTGTGAGTAACCAGCTTCCTGCTGCCGGACAGACAGACTTCCGTGGTTGCAAACCATGCACTCTCCATTGAGTCATCTTGAGCCTGCCTCAGTTTCCAGCTCTGACACTTAACAGAGGTGTCAAGCTACTGATAGCCACCTGAGCTTCAGTTCGCTCACGTAATGTGGGGTTATAAAAGCGCAGACTTCACAGAGTTGTTATTGCCATGAAAGCAGATATTCCTAGGTCAAAGTTTATAAGATTAGCAATCTTGCTGGATACCACTGAATTCCCCTCCCTAACTGCATTGATTTACATACTCGCCAGCCCTGCAGGAAATTGCATTTCCCCACTGCAAAGCTATGGATCATTGCCCCGGTGTTGTTTTCATTTGCATCTCTCTGATTCCCAGGAAGGCTGTGCACCTGGGGTAGGGGGTGTGTGAAGTCCGGCCATAGGAGCAGAATGGGATGGGGGTGGGGACCCCTGATCCCTGGAGGACTGGTTTCCAAAGCCCCATCAAAGGGTTCACGGGGAACTGGTCTGATTTCCTGTAAACGAGGCTGTTTTCCTGGCCTTGCCCTCATGCCTGGAGTGGGGGAGGCCTGGAGAAATAGAACAAACTTGGCCTCTGTCTGCTTTGATTGCAACATCCTTTCTTTGAAAGAGGAGGAGAGAGAATGCAAACACCTGCTTACTTTGCAGAATTGGTGGGGATTCAACTTCTGAAAAGGGGGATGGGGGTGAGGTGGGTGGGTAGTGGTACCTGCTGGTACCTTCCTCTGTTTTCCTCTCCCATAGCACCCCTAAAACCCACCCCATTTCCTGGTCTCATTATAACCTTCAGCATTTGGGCTGTGTGGTTTGACAACCCTGAGAGGGAATTCCAGCTGCCTCTGTCTCCCCACCAGGCTGGGTTCCTCCTTTCTCTGAGCCTCAGTTGATCCTTCTGAACAATGGGACTGAGGATGGTTTCTGCTGTTTTGATGATTAAGGGAGCAGAGATGCTTTCCTCAGCTCAGCTGTGAGGGGTCACACCACGTACCTCGGCAGAAGCAGATCCACCTGATCTCCTCCTGGCAGGGAGAGGCCCAGGTGCCACCTCTTTGTGCACAGTTCAGACCTGGCCGCTCGGAGTGGTCAAACGGCAGTGCTCATTTTGTCTTCTCCGAAAACGTTGAAACTTGAAGTAGGTAGTAAGATGCCCCGTGGTGGTGGAGGTTGGGAAGGGTCCTGGCCCCGACTTCCAGTCACTGACTAGAGGGGTGGAGGTGAAGGGGGAGTAAGGCCCCCGGGGAGGGAAGAAGGCGGCAGGAGGAATCCTTCATGGCTTTCTCCTGGGGGATGTGCATTTGCGCCCAGATGTTTGGGAGGAGGATGTTGGGCAAGACGAGCCAGCAGGGGAGGCAAGTAGGAGGCTTAGGGGATGGGACTTGCAGTCAGCAGGCTGGCGGGCGTGGAGGGTGCAGAGGGAGCTGCCTGCGTTGCCAAATGGGATAACTGGGCTGCACTTATGCTAACAAAGCATTTGTTATTTATCTGACATTCAGATGCAACTGGGTGCCCTGTATTTTGTCTGAAAACTCAAGCTGGGGTGCAGGAGAGGATAAGGGGAAGGAAGTGGGGATGATTTCTAGATGGCGAGGCCAGGCACCCCCCTCCCCACCTCACCCTTGCCTAGGTGCAATAATCTCTCTGCTACACCCCCGCCCCCGTCCTTTCCCCACAGAGATGCTGCCAGGCCTGGGAACAGCAGGGACCGCTCCCCTCCCTCCAAGCCCCCCATTTCAAGGATGGGGTCCTTGCTACACTGCTTCCTGAGATTTCCCTCCAGGACCCACAACCAGGGCCCCTCTCCTCCCACTGCACAGCCTGGGCTCCCCTTCCCTCTCATTACTCATTAACTCTCTGGTCACCTTGACCTGGGTGAATTGATTTATCTGTCCTATGGCTCCTTTCCCCTGCTTCATGCACACTCCCCAGAGGCCTGGGCACCAGGGGACCCCCCACCCTGGGGGACACTGGGGGCAGAGGTTTTGATTCCAGCTCTGCCGTCTCCCAGCCTCAGTTTCTAATCTGTAAACTGGAAATTCACAGCCACGGAACCTCCCTCTGGGTTGAGATGACAAACTGGTGGCATCAGGCAAGCAGAATGCTAGGCATGGTGCCCCTCACACAGTGAGCGCTGGACATGCTGGAACCGCGTTTTTATTTTTACGCACACCTGCTCCTCCTCCCTCTTGCCTTATTTTGGTGGCAGCCCCACCAGGCCTCCAAACCAGAGTCCCCTCTTCCTCTCGCTCCCTCACCCCCTGTGTCCAGCCGTCACCACCCCCTGGACTGCCTCTCCCAGCCCATCCTTCTCTCCATCCCCGTGCTCCCTGGCCTCCCTTCTGTAGACTGTCCTGTTCCAGTTCATCCACAGCAACTGGGCTTTTCTTTTCTAAAACACACCTTTGTATTCCTTCTACAAAATGAAGATGTGTAATACGTGAGTACGCGCTCGTGACAGTGAACACCGCCATGAGGCTCAGCGACAGCATCTCGTCTATTTCTCGTATCTTCACTTGTTTATTCTGCATGCTGTAGGTGCTATTACTATCTCTATTTTACCGATGAAGAGAACTGAGGGCCTCAGTCACTTGCCCAAGGATCCTCTAGCTGGTAAGAGCTGGGATTGGAACCCAGGCAGCCGGACTCCAGAGTTTGTGCTCCTAAATGGTATGTGTTTCTGACTGCTACTGTAACAAATGACCACAAACCACAAACACCTATTTATTATCCTACAGCTCTGGAGTGCAGAAGTCTGAAATCAAGGTGTCAGCAGGGCTGTGTTCCTTCTCCAGGGGAGAATCTGTTCCTCGTCTTTTCCAGCTTCTAGAGGCTGCCTGCATTCCTTGGCTCATGGCCCCTCCCTCCATCTTCAAAGGGCCTCATTATAGCCTCTGTTTCCATCATTACATCTGCTTCTCTGACTCTGACCCTCTTCCCTCTTATAAGGATGCTTGTGATGACATTGGGACCACTCGATTGATCCAGAATAATCCCCCATTCTAACATCCTTAACTTAATCATACCTTCAAAGTGCCTTTTGTCATGTAATGTAACATATTCACAGGTTTTGGGGTTAAGGATGTGGGCATCTTCGGGGCCATGATTCTGCCTACACCAGCATGCACGTGGAGGAAAACATCCACCCTGCATGGCCATGTCCCTTCCTGCTTTAATCTCTTCATTGTCTCCCATGGGCCTGGAATGGAGTCCAAGTGTGTCTGCTCGTCTTTAGGCTTCTGCTAGCTGCTTTCGCCCTCCCACTGGCCCCAGCCAGTTTGGCAGAGGGACCTGTGAGTTATTCTGGGCTTCTCTGCCTTGTTCTCATAACTTCTTCAGTCTGCAATGCCTCCCCACTTCCTTCTTTGGCTGGATGGCCTATTTATTCATCTGGGCCCCAGTTAGACTTGTTTCCGCTGGCAGGAAGCCTTGACCGTGGCCTGATTCCCCAGCCCTCTGCCATGCCTGCAGCCCCCACCGAAGAAAGCTTCTCAGAGCTCCAAAAGGGGTTCTGGGTGCTCTAGTTAAAGGGTGAGGTGGGGCAGGGGAGGAAATGCATCTTGGGAGCCTGCCCCCAGGTGTGTGCACAGGTGCGTCTTTAACCTGAGGTCACTCCTCGATTCAGGGACAGTCCCTGAAAAGTGAGGCTATGTTGCTTGGCACTGTGCTGAGTGCTGACATTCATTATCATATTTCATCCTCAAGGACCTTACAGGGCCCCCATTTTATATATAAGGAAACAGAGAGGTTAAGCCACTTATCCACTTTCACAGAGCAAATGGGGGCAAGGTGGAGATATTTGGTTGCACAGAGTCTAGAGGCAGTGCACGCAGAGGTAAAGGGCAGCTCTGGAACCAGATGGCCCACGTTTTGTG